GGCTCGCTGGGCCACCGGCCTCCGTATTTCCCAAGAGGGGAATTCCCAGGCCCGCGGGCCTTGGGTGCTGGTGGGTGTTTGGGGGAGATCCGGGGTGGGGGCAGGCCAAGAAGGCCTTCAGCCAGTTTGTTTTCTCTCCCGGGATTTGTTTGGCACAGCCCGGTTCCCACCCTGGGAGACATCTGTGCATTTCCAAGTAGACAGGCTGGGTGCTGGGAGGGTGGCGCCGGGCGTGGTTGCTGCGGGTGAGGCCTCTTCCCGTCGTCGGGGCTGGAGGGCCGGCGGGATGGAGAAATGTGGAAAGTCTCCCAGGCCGGGCTGGAAGGGAGGCCTGAGGTGCCACACTTCCCAGGGAGCCTGCTCGGTGGTAAAGGGGTCATCCCTGCCCCTACCCTGCCCTCGATGGAAAGTGGAAACCTGGGGAGGGAGAGGGAGAAGGCTGCTGGGGAGCCTGGACCGTCCTTTAGGAATGAGGACAGCAGCACCCAGCACCCTGCGCTTCCCCTCCCCCCCCCCCACCTCGCCGACCCCAAATTCAGACCAGCAGAGAAGAAGGGCAGGAGAATTAAGGCTGTTGACCCAGAATTTACCCTTGAGCAGGGCTGAACTAAAGGGAGGCCCGACTGGGAACCTGGAAGTTGGCATTTCAGTTCCCTCCGGGAGGCAGGGAAAAAACAGGACCGCCGCTGAGGCCCGTCTGCAAGAAATAGCGGTGTGTTTTATTCTGCGAAAAACCTCTGACAGCCGGATCTCAGCTTTGGGGTAGCTGTGCCCCCTGAAAACTTGTCTGGGCAGGAGCTGCAGAGGTGGCAGTGGGGTGTTTATAGAGGGCCTGGCCCCCTGGAATGGAGGTATGAGAGCATGGTTAGTGCCTGGGGGAGGTTGAAATGTGCCTGCTCAGTGCCTAGTATGAAGGGAGGAGGTAGGTTAGCATTTTTGTTCTTTGGCTGGTTCAATACATGTTGGATACACAGGCCTTGAATTTCGCTGGGATGGCAGCTAGAGATGCCAGGGCTGAGTTCAACTGGGCCGAGGTGGTTCTGTGGGCATTGGGATTTGGGTGGTGAGGGTGATTGGAAAGAGAACTCTGATCTGAGTGTGTTTGAAGGGGGGTGTCATGTAGTCTTCTCCCAGCCGCTTCATTGGCTCTCCATGCTGTTGGCGTCTTTGTTGGTGTTTTTGGTTCACTCTTTCGGTGTGTAGAAGAAGGCAGAGATTTGGATGGCGGGGTGCAGTGGCAGGACTTGGTACAGCACATCGATTCAGGGGTGCTGGATCCAGGCCCCAGGTACAGCACTTAACTTTTCTGTGTCTCAGTTAACCCAGCTACAAATGGGGATGGAATCAGACACATTAAGTAAAAATACATGTAAAAACTGTAAAGCCTGTGTAGATAGAAAGGGTTGTTGTTACCATGGTCTCATCCGTTGAAGGCCATCGTCTTCTGTACCAGTAGTTTCCTACGTGGGGCACACGCCCCACAGGAGGAGGGGGGCGATTTGATTTTTAAGGGGGGCAATTTGAGAATGTGTTATTAAGAGTGAATTTTTTTTTTTTTGCATTTCTTATGGTTCTAGGGGCCTCAAATACAGCATCTAAATATATATTGTGACATGTTTATGTATTTCAGTTCTCTATTATGTTTTGAAACTTCATTTGCTACTTTTTCATATCACTTCATATTATTATTATTTTTAACAATTTCTCCCTCAGTCCTTCACCTGTGCTTTCATTCTTTTATTTTTCTCTTTCATGGATGCCATGTTCTTTGGAAGCTTGTTTAGACCAAGTTACTGGCCTTTTAGGCTTCCTCTGCATGAAGAGTTCACTTTTTGAATAATGAGAATTATATGTCATGGGAGGGGGAAATCAGGATTTTAGAGAAGCTTAGATGGGGCCACAAAAAGGTTGGGAACTACTGTTCTATACCTTACAGTGGCCAAGAAATGTCTTAGCTTTCTGTGGTTAAAAAGAATACTACTCATAGTTTTTAAAAAAAAGTATAAATGGAAACATGTCATTGCAGGAAAAGATGAATCATATATAAAAGTATATAGGCAAGTATAAAATTCACTCATGATCCTGTCACCAGGTAACCATTGCGAATGTCTCGTTGCATTGGTATATTCTTTCATTCCCCTTTTAAAATTCTGTGTGTGCCTGTACACGGATCCACATGCATGTTGTTACAAGATGGAGATACTACTGGGCAGTCAATAGTATATGCTGCATTTTCTCCCTTAACTTCATATTGTAAACATTTTCCCCGAATCCAATAAAAATTATTCAGCTGCCCCGTTGTTAATAGCTGCTTAATATTGCAGCCTGTGAACATGTAATTAGCCATTCTCCTCTGTTATTTGGTTGCTTCCATTTCCCCCCTCTCTGCCTGTTTTCAGAGTCTTAGTTACTGGGTGGCAGCTGGGGGAGATCTTGGCTGACTTCCAGAAGGTGGAGGAGGGCAAGCTGGGGCGGGTTGCTCTTGGGAACGGCCATCTTGGGAGAACGCTGGGAACCAGGGCTCTAGATCTTAATCACTGGTCTCTATGGGTGGCTGCTTCTCCTTCCCCATCACTATGTGCAGGTCCTCGTGTTGGCCTTAATTTTTTCTTCATGGGCTGTGGATCAACTAGAATAAACACTTTTCTTCAAAGTCCATGATCCATCAACAGGTCGATTTCATGTGTCAGACAGGCCCAGACACAGGACTTGGATGCTTTGCAATATACATTCTCAAAAGCCCCTCTCTAGGTTGACTGGTTGGCCGCCCATTCTTCTATTCTTTTCATCCTTCCCTTACCCTTCCCCCTCCCAGTAGGCTAGGACTGAGGAGGAGAAAGTAGAACTTGCCCTTGGGAGAATGTGTTTCCTCCTCCTTATAAGGTAATAGTCTCCGGGCTTTGATGGCTTGTGTTGCTGCCCTGCAAAACAACCCAAACCAAGGCCAAGACCAGAGGGGTGGGGGCACGGGGGGCACTTGAATTCTGCATGCCAACCAGCCTCACCTACCCACTGAGCTGTGCTCCCCAGGGGGAAGGTTTCAGTTGCAGGAGATGGTAATTGGGTCAGAAGGCTCAGGTGAGAGCAGGTCTTGCCTTGCTCTTAAAGTGCCAGGGCTGAGTTGGCGTTGGGTTTTCCCCCATTGGATGGAAGTCTAGCTGGGGAGAGAAGCGGAGTTATGGTCCAGCCCCTCAGCTAAGCGCCTCTGAATGGGAGCCTTTCACTGACTCAACCGATTTGGTTTCTGAACTGTGATCCAGGTAGGGGTCTTTCTGGGGATGAAGGCGACTTATTTGTCTTCCTTTCCTCCTCAGGGCTTTATGGGGCTTGAGCAGTTTTCATTTGGATTTCTTCAGGAAGGAGTCTGATGGAAACATTGAGCTTTAGTGCTTAGTAACTATTATAGTAGAGTGCTGGACACTCAATAGCTGATGGCCAACTATTTGCTGAATAAATGTTAGTTTTTAGGTGTTTCTTTCTCACCTTACATAAAAACAAACTAAAATAAGAACACCAAAAAATAAATAATAAAACTCTAAGGACAGCATTCCAGGCAAACAATTCTTCAGTGACTAGCTTTTCCTTTGGGCACATGATCTAGGCAAACCTTTGTTTACTGTTGTGAGCGAAGGCTGTCTCTCGTGCTATCTGCTATGTCTGGGAATTTTTATGAGATTTAATTGCAGACTTTACCCAGGCTGGCTCCTGCAACCAGCCAGCTCACTCCAGCCTCTGGGAAATAAGCAGACCCCGGTCAGGAGGCCATCTGTGGTTGGCAAACTGCGGCTCTTGAGCCACATGCGGCTCTTTGGCCCCTTGAGTGTGGCTCTTTCACAAAATACCACGGCCTGGGCAAGTCTGTTTTGAAGAAGTGGCGTTAGAAGAAGTTTAAAAAATTTGGCTCTCAAAAGAAATTTCAATTGTTGTACTGCTGATATTTGGCTCTGTTGACTAATGAGTTTGCTGACCACGGTTCTAGGGTTCTGAGCTTGACCAAACTCGGCTGCAGGGCAGGGTCCTCAGAGCCTTTGTCTCCAGCGTTCTCAGGTCCGTTTCCACGCACTAGATTGTTCTGTGGATAACCAAATCAGTCCTCCCCCCCTCCCCCCCCCCCCTTTTTTTTTTTTTCTGTACAGAATCTTTGGGTGGCCCAGAGAAAGGACAGCTGACTCAAAGCCCAGCTCTTCAGATCCTGGTGGATATACTACCCGCTCTATGTAAGTGAGGACTTTGAAACTGGGACCCCCCTCCTCCCCTCTCTGCCCCCAGCCATGAAGGTATCGTTTCTTACTAAAATATTACCATTTATCTTTAGTTGTCTAAAACAGAGAGCATGTTTCAGGTTCGTGCCCATATCCTTATTGTTTCCATAATGATTTTTCTTCCGTCTCCTGAGACAAGTTTGAAAAGAATAATTTTCGCCTGGTTGGGGTGGCTCCGTGGTTGACCTATGAGCCAGGAGGTCACAGTTCGATTCCTGGTTAGGGCACATGCCCGGATTGTGGGCTCAATCTCCAATGGGGGGCAGGGGGAGGGGCGTGTGCACGAGGCAACTAGTCAATAATTATTTCATCAATGTTTCTATCTCTCTCTCCCTCTCTCTTAAATCAATAAAAAACATATTAAAAAGAAAAAAGTAATTTTCTTTCTCTTCTAAAGCCCTTGGTACTTCAGGAAGGACTGTGTTCCAGCAGAGATGACATCATCTTTTCATTTTTCTGCTCCAGGATTTAAATAGAAGAAATGTGATCTGCTTACATGATAAGTCTGATTTGGCTAGAGCATGAAGTATAAATGGCTTTGGAATAAGAATCAAAAGAACCCTTTAACCTCTTTTCTTTCCTTCCCCACCTGGCACAGTTTATTCCCATATTTAGTTTCTCTGCTGTAATCTAATGAAACTGTAGCTCTATCATAAGGGAACAGCGATGGGAAAAGTTCCCAGCAACTGGCCTCATTCTCCTGTTCTCCCCATCTCTTCCCCCTCCCCCACCCAGATCATGGCCCTCCACCCCCGCAGAGTCCGGCTGAAGCCCTGGCTGGTGGCCCAGGTGGACAGTGGCCTGTACCCTGGGCTCATCTGGCTGCACAGGGACTCCAAACGCTTCCAGATTCCCTGGAAACATGCCACCCGACACAGCCCCCAACAGGAGGAGGAAAATACCATCTTCAAGGTAAAGAACCTCACCATTTGACTTACACGTTTTCCATTCTCTCTCTCTTGGGTTTTATGTTGTGTTCTGGTTTCTCTTTTGACATGAGGAATACCCTAAATCCAAAACGCTGATGCAACAGTGTTTATGATGGGGGTGCCCAAACTTCACAGGCATAGTAATTTCTCCTGTTAGGGCATGTCTGTGATGGATGAGGTCATTTATTCTTTCCTACTGGTCCAAGGCACTCAATTCACATTCCAAAGGATCCGGGGTAAGGTTGGCCAAACTCCTGTGAGTTGCTCCAAAAGCTCCCAAGTGTCAGCAATGGACTCTTCCTCTTTATTCCCTCGGGGTTCTTGCTATAAAGAAAGGTATTTGGGCCTGGGAATGGCTCTTCAGACCAGGGCAGGACTATTGAGTCTCTGTCATCAGGCTCCTAGCATAATCTGTAGGATGGGTGTAGAGGACCCTTTGCAAGTTTTTCTTTTGATATTGACATATTTTGCCCTATCCATGCCTCTGCTTAAAAATTAAATAGTGATTTAATTATGTTTTCATTATTTTTTCTATAAATATCTTTTCTATAAATAAAAAGCAGCATAGGAGATATGGTCAATAATATTGAAATAACTATGTATGGTGTTGGGTGGGTATTACACTTATCAAGGGGATCACTTCATGAATTATATAAGTGTCTAATCACCATGTTGTATACCTGAAACTAATATAATTTTATACCTCAACTGTAATTGAAAAATAATTTAAAATTTTAAAAGTTGAAAATTACATTAAAAAAATTGTGATACAAGAGCCATTTTACTTAACTGAAAACAAGTTTTAACCACCTGGCAGGTTACAAATGTTAAGTGAAACCAGAGCTGACTTAGCCAGAAGTAGGTGGGAAGCTGCTATGGGCAGGGGTGTGATGTGGTTGGTAACTTGCGAGCCTGCACCTCATCCCCAGATCATCTTCTCTGTGCTGGTCAGTCTTCCAGCTCGTGAGTAACTTTCGTTACTGCACCCCAAAGACACCCAGAAGTGAATTCACACTTTGTTTCCTGACTGTAAGCTGCAAGTCAGAAGTGATATTCAGTCTCTACTATGGGCCTGTCAAGATGTTGCCGAGATTGGACCGGGAGAGGTGGGCTCACATCTTAAAGGAGAGCTATCCTGGAGATGTCTCCTACCCGACTCAGTTATGTCAGGTGTAGAGAGAGGAGGCAGAGAGAAAGTTGGCCCGAATAAGTAAATGAGCACTTAATTTAAAATTAAATAATGATACAATAGGGATAGAAAACATCTGTAAACCAGCACCAACATTCGAGTTGGCACGGAGGGAGGATGGGCCTATCCTGCCCATCCAGCTGGTCTGAAATTGGGTTTGCTGTTGACGTATCTGGTGGTGGCTGGCTATGGAGGAAGAGGCTGGTTCCTGGAAGCCCCACTCAGAAGAGCAATTTGCATGCTTAGGGCTTGAGAAAAGGGGACGGTGGGAAGCTGCTTTGTCATTTCTGTGTATGTGTTTGCAGAATGCTAAGGGAGAGCTTTGGAAGTTAGGAGAAAAGTGAGGTTGCTTTCACAGATCCAAAGCTCTGACTGGCCTTTGACAGGATGGTGGGATAAGGGTGGGGGCACTAACCTTAAATGGATGCCTGACCCACACGCTAGGTCCATTATGTCATTTATTTCTCACAGCTCTGGAAGGTTGTAGATGCAGAAGCGGAGTCTCTGAAGGGCTAAGTAGCTTGCTGAAATCACACAGCCAGGACATGGTGGGGTCATGATTGGAACCCAGGCCTATCTTCTTCCCCATTTTCATCCTGCCCCTTCTGACTGGGAATTGCAAGATCTGTCTTCAGGTCCTGCTACCATTAATTGCATGTGTGGTCTTGAGCAAGTCACACAATCTCCTTGGGATTTAGATTTCCCTTCAGTAAAATGGGGATGAACCCGGTCTTGCTTGCCTCGCAAGGATTTTTGTGAAAATTGAATGAAAAACGTATGGGAAGGGACTCGTAAATGATCATAAAAATGCAGGGGCTATTTCCATCTTAGGAAGAGAAATAGGGACCTGTACAGTGGCCAGAACCTTAGAAGTATGACTCAGAACAGGTTTGAACTAGTGATATTTATAAATCACAATGATGGCCTTGTGGTGGGTGCTACCTTCTGCTGCATCAGTATGGATCCTCCATGTTATCTCTGTAGGCCCTGGTGTGTGTGTGTGTGTGTGTGTGTGTGTGTGTGTGTGTGTGTGTGTGTGTCTGCTGTGTGAGAGAGGGTGAACAGACTTTGCAATGTTTCTGGGCATTAGTAGGCACTCACTGCAGTTTCCTATTCTTCAGGCCTGGGCTGTGGAGACAGGGAAGTACCAGGAAGGGGTGGATGACCCTGACCCGGCTAAATGGAAGGCCCAGCTCCGCTGTGCTCTCAACAAGAGCAGGGAATTCAACTTGATGTATGATGGCACCAAGGAGGTGCCCATGAATCCAGTGAAGATATATCAAGTGTGTGACATCCCCCAGCCCCAGGGCTCCATCATTAACCCAGGTGAGGCCTCAGCTGCTGGGGAGAAGGTGGATCGTTTGTCAAGATCTAGGCTGGACTCTCAAAGAAATAGTTGACTTGAAAATTGCTCGGCTTTTTACGTTTAAGACTGGTAAAGCAAGAAAGCCTTTCCCTAGGAGGGACCCAGAGAACAGAAGATGTAAACCCAGCAAAATCTTCTTGCTCATTTAGGGGGATAAGTACTAGCCTGATTGCTTAAAGCTTTAGAAAGTAGAGGGAGTATAACATAGATTTCTACTGAAAAAATAGCTACTTGGGACTTAGCACTAAGGGCAGAGGCCAGGTAGTTTTAGAAGAAGAGATAAAACCTAGAAGGTTTGAGTTCTAAAGCTGATTCTTGTCCCTTCATTACTTGTGGAACATTGAATCAAGGCATTTGACCGAGCGAGTCTCAGTTTTTCAGTTGTAAAATAGGGATGCTCATCTTTCTTGCCTAGTTCAAAAGCTATTGAAAGAATCAATTGACATAACCTGTGAAAGCTCTTAAGTTCTCTTTATAAATGTTGAGGTGAGTGGCCATTTAGTTGTAGGATACTTTTACTAAGAGAATACCACCTGATCCTGCTATATACCCAATCCTTAACAAGAAGTGATTAAGAGCCGATAATTTTTTTTTTTTGAGAGCCAGATAATTTTTTTAAAAAAATTTATTTTATTGATTTTGTACAGAGAGGAAGGGAGAGAGATAGAGAGCTAGAAACATCGATGAGAGAGAGTCATCGATCAGCTGCCTCTTGCACACCCCCTACTGGGGATAGCCCGCAACCAAGGTACATGCCCTTGACCGGAATGGAATCCGGGTCCCTTTGGTCCCCAAGCCGACACTCTATCCATTGAGCCAAACCGGTCTCGGCAAGAGCCAGATAATTTTGATTTGTCCTCAGCGAATCTGGTGAGGCCTTGCCAAGAGGGAAGGGTCTATTCTCACATTAAGCTTACAAAGGAGAGAAGCTGGTGTCCTGAAGTTCTTAAAAGAGATGCTAATGTGTAGGAAGAGGGTTAGTATATAAATTAAGAGATTTCTGTAGAAGGGAGTAAGCCTTACTCCCTCCAGGGGTCAGCAACCTTTAAGACATAAAGAGCCACTTGGACTCGTTTTCGAAGGAAAAAAAAAAACTCGGAGCCGCAAAACCATTGCGACATAAGTGATACAGCTCCCCGCCCGCCCTGCTATCTGCCCTGCTAGTGTTGGACCCGCTGGGGGCCGCAGCAAAGGTTCAAAAGAGCCTCATGCGGCTCCGGAGCCGCAGGTTGCCGACCCCTGGAAGATATGCAGTTCCTTAATAGGAGAGGGGAAGAGAGCTTACATAAGGGCTCTGTGAGAAGAGTTGGAACCAGGGATCCACTTATCCTCAGCTTCCACTCTTCTTGATTAGGGCACTGAGGGTGCACACTGAGCCCGGAGACCCCCTGTGCTAGCTGTCCCTAGCTTGTGCAGTGGGGTAGCTGCAGCACTCACAGCGGAACCTGAGGGGTTCACTTGCAGCTGTGTGCCTGTTTCTTGGTAGGATCCACTGGATCTGCTCCTTGGGATGAGAAGGATAATGATGTGGATGAAGATGATGAGGAAGATGAGCTGGATCAGTCACAGCACCATGTTCCCATCCAGGACACCTTTCCCTTCCTGAACATCAATGGTGAGTAGGAGTGATAGGTGGTCCAGAGGGGTGAGGAGGGCTTTGACCTTGCTCCTGCTGACCCCACCACTGCACTAGGAGCCAGGCTGCTGGTCTGTTAGCAAATAGGGGTCATAGGCAAGGGAACTCTGCTGGCCCAGTTAAAATTTTTTACTAATTCTCAGTCCCACATACAAAACTTTTATACATTTTGCTGATTTCTTTTAGGTCAAGTTGCAGGAATCATTTTCATGAATTGTAGGCAGATTCTTCTGTTCTTTCCCTCAGTATAAATTTTTTTTTTTTTTTTTTTTTTTTTTCAGAGAGGAAGGGAGAGAGATAGAGAGCTAGAAACGTTGATGAGAGAGAAACATCGACCAGCTGCCTCTTGCACACCCCCTACCGGGGATGTGCCCGCAACCAACATACATGCCCTTGACCGGAATCGAACCTGGGACCTTTCAGTCCGCAGACCGACGCTCTACTGCTGAGCCAAACTGGTTTTGGCCCCTCAGTATAAATTTTATGTCACTTCCTGAACAGGGTCTACTCAGCTAAGGCTCTGTGATGGAAACTTGTGGTTTCTACAGCTCTCAGTTCTTGGCTCTGATAGGATTGATCTTCTAGGGACTTTTCTTTTGTAGATTTTTAAATAAATTTTTAAAAATTCATCTTTATTGTTGAGATTATTACAGATGTCCCTCTCCCCCTCCCCCACTCCCCAATCACTCCCCTCTACCTGGTTCCTATCCTACCCCAGGCCCTCAACACCCTATTGTCTGTGTCCATAGGTAATGCATACATGCATATAAGATCTTTGTCTAATCTCTCCCTACACGCCCACCCACACAAACCCCTTTACCTCTGAGAATCATCAGTCTGTTCTATTTCCATGCCCCTGATTCTATTCCATTCACCAGTTTATTCTGTTCATCAGACTTTTTGATTTTTACATTTAATTGTTGATAAATATGTATTTGTTGTCACTTTGTTGTTCATATTTTTTATCTTTAACTTTTTCTTTTTCTTCCTCTTCTTAAAGAATACCCTCCAGCATTTCATATAATACTGGTTTGGTGGTGATTAATAAGTCTTTTAACTTTTTCTTGTGACCTTCAATTCTAAATATAATTTTGCTGGGTAGAGTAATCTTAGTTGTAGGTTCTTGTTATTCATCACTTTGAATATTTTTTGCCACTCCCTTCTGGCCTGCATAGTTTCTGTTGAGAAATCAGCTGACAGTATGAACACTCTTTTGTAGGGAGCTAACTGTTTTTCTTTTGCTGCTTTTAAGATTCTCTTTGTTTTGACTTTGGCATTTTAATTATGATGTGTCTTCGTATGGTCCTCTTTGGATTCCTCTTGTTTGGGGTTGTCTGTGCTTCCTGGACTTGTAAGTCTATTTCTTTCACCAGGTAGGGAAAATTTTCTGTCATTATTTCTTCAAATAGGTTTTCAATATCTTGCTCTCTCTCTTCTTCTGGTACTTCATAATTTGGATGTTGGTAGGCCTGAAGTTGTCCCAAAGGCTCATTATACTATCTTCATATTTTTTTATTTGTTTTTCTTTTTGCTTTTCTGATTGGGTATTTTATCCTTCCTTGATTTCAAATCATCGATTTGATTCTCGAGATCCTCTAGGCAATGTTGAATTCCCCTATATTATTCTTTATTTCAGTCAGTGTATGCTTAATTTCTGACTGGTCCCTTTCTTTTTGGCATTATCATTAAGATACTTGAAAATCAAAGTTCCTCAGAGGTTTCTAGAAGATTCTTGAGTATCCTTATAATTGTAGTCTCTATATCCAGTAGTTTGCTTTCTTTCATTTCTTGCATTTGTGACATCTTTGTGTCTGCATTTTGGCTGCTTCCCTATGTTTGTGTCTATGTATTGGGGAGCTGCTAAATCTCTGAGTTGATAGAGTGGCCTTGTGTAGGTTCCTATAGGGCCTGTGGCTCAGCTTACCCAATCACCTGAAGTGGATACTGTTAGAACACCCCTTTGTGGGCTGTGTGCACAGTTCTATTGTAGTTGAGCCTTGATTGCTGTTGGTGTCACTGGGAGGAATTGAGCTCCAGGCCAATTGGCTGGGGGGACCAGCTGTGACTACCAACTGCTGTGCAGGAGACCACCTTATGAAGCAGGACTTGCTTCAGTGGGGCTTTGGCGTTTCCTAAGTCTGCCCTTGAATATGTTGCTTATGCATGTGAAGAGTTGTAATGTGGTATGGTCTCACACTGCTCACTGGGTATACTGGCTCTTGGGTCTCCAGGGAGGTGCAAAGTAAGCCACTGCCTGCAGGCATCCAGCAGGAGCTACAGAGAGATCTTCAGATCCCTCCTCTTTGTATTGGGTTTGGAAATGCCCAGTTGAGGCCCAGCTGTGAAGCAAGGCAGGCTGGTGCTGGTGCTGGTGCTGGGTCTTGAGCCTTTTATTGATAGGTTTGGGAATCCCTGACCCAGCTGTAATTTGTCTGACAGATTTTTAGCCTGAGGAAGGAAAGACCATTCATATGCAAAAGCTGTTGCACACAGCTTGGGTGAGGTTATAAATTGGGTGGGACTATAAATTGGGTGGGGCAAAATCTCAGGGAATCACCAGGGTGGAGCAAATTGAAATGGCTACCAGTTAGCCCTGCACCAGGGAGGTCCCAGCACTGGAAGAAGGACTGCTGTAAGCACTTCCATCTGGAAGAAAGTTGCCCCAAGTTCCAACCCTGATGTCAGACAGTCCAGTTTCTCCCTGTATGTGTCTGGGTTTCCCAGAGCCTTGCCAGGCACTGGAGCTCAGAGAAAGTGAGAGCTTGTAAATTCAGTTCATGGTGCCGGCCTTTTAAGAGGAGCAGTTGGGTCTCTAGAAGCCTGTGTGTCTCTCAGCCCCAATCCACACTGGTTTTTATAGTACATAGTTCTTACTGCCTGTAAGGACTTCTTTCCCCAGCTCTAGAATCCTCAACTGGGTGTCTGATGTGGGGCTGGGACCCTTTGTTCCTATGAGCGGCCTCCACAGAGGCTATCTCCCTCCAGCCCATTCTGTGCCTCTGCACCTCCCACCAGTCTCAATATGCTTTCTTCTTTACTTCTCTAGTTGAAGTACTTCCATTCAGCCAGCTTTCTGGAGGTTCTGGATGATAGTTGTTTTGTATTTTACTTGTAATTTTGATGTGGATGTGGGAGGCAGCAAGAATGGACGTTTACCTATGTTGCCAACTTGGTTCTCTTTTTTGTAGACTTCTTAAATTCAGCTTCCCAGGAAAAATGAGTTGAGAGGTTGGAAAGTCACTGTGTGACAGGGCAGGTTCTGAATCTCCCATTGCCCATCCTGAGGATGCTTGGAACACAAGCTGAACTGCTCCTCTGCAGCATCTTTGCTGGAACTGCCCACTAAAATGGTCCTTGACACGCATTTAGTTGAGCAGCTTTCACTGCTTTTCTAATTTCATCTGGCTGCTATGGGTCAAATGAGATACTTGCGGGCTTCCTTGGACCCTTTTTTGGGAAGATGTGTGTTATATATGGAAAACAAAAAAGTAAAATGGGTACATAGATTTAACCAGACAAAGGGTCCAAACATTAACCTCTGTGATTTCAGAGCTGTTGGGGCAGAGGAAGAAGAATTGTGGAAGAATAGATGCCTAAGAGGTGAGGCTAGGAGGAGGTATCTGTAGACTTTTGAGTGAGCCAACCTGGCCAATAGCAAAGAAATAGATGGTTTTAAAAAAATTATTTTAAAAATAGCTTTATTTGGTCACTTTTGAATAAATAATACTTACATGATTTAAAATTCATAATGGTATAAAAAGGTAATCAGTGGAAGGTTTTCCTTCCATCCCTGTCTCTGAACCTCCCAATTCCTTCCCTGGAAGGTCCTTGAGTATCCTTCCAGATGTTTAATGCATGTAAAAATATTTGTTTTAAATGGAATTTTGATAAATTAACACTTACTCAAAGCTAACAAACTGATTCTGTTGAGTTCGTTTTATGAAAGATAACCAAGTTCTGTTTAATTGCAGGGTTCAAATTTTACAACAGGGAACCTCTCATCCATGCCCATACTGATTTAACCCCAGAGAGAACTCACCCCTCCGTTAATCTTCAGCAAACCCAGGTTTTCATGACTATGAGTTTATGGGAGAACCGATATGATTAGGTTTCCCCGGAGCAAGTGTTTCTTGTTGTGTTAGTTGTGGGGATCCGTGACGGGCTGCCACATTTATCTCGGTCCAGTGTTTGACTCTTGTCTGTTGACTTTGTTAGGTGTTAGAGCCTCAGACCAGATGCTGTGCATGTGTGGTGCCCCTGCCTGCTCAGCCACATCCTTCTGTTCTAGGTTCTCCCTTGGCACCGGCCAGTGTGGGCAACTGTAGTGTAAGCAACTGCAGTGTGGGCAACTGCAGCCCTGAAGCAGTGTGGCCCAAAACGGAACCTCTGGAGATGGAAGTACCCCAGGCACCTATACAGCCCTTTTACAGCTCTCCAGAGCTGTGGATCAGCTCTCTTCCAAGTAAGTGAGCCCTGGGCTTTCTTGATGGGTCTTCAGTTCCTAATAGAGTCCCTTGCTGCCTCACCTTCCGCTTCCGTTTCTTTGCCTTGTATAGAATAGCCACCTTTTCCACAGGTACCTTCTGCGCGTGGTTCCTGGCCAACTGATGATGGGTTATCCAAGGCAGAAATAGGCCAGCGGATGTCGAGTTACCAGGGCAGAAATAAAGAGACATTAGCCTATGTCTAACTGCCCATGAGGATGCTCTGATTGGTTACAGCTCCAGGTTACTCACCTTTATGTGGGTAGGAGTCCTGGTTTTATCAGTTTGGCTAGGGGAAAATTTAGTTTGCTGTGAGCTGCATGTTTTTTTATAATATATTGAAAGATGAGTTGGTATTCTTGTTTCTCTGGTTTCTTTAAACAACGAGACAAAAATATGACACAAGCCAGATAGCTTATTTTCAAGCTCCTTCCAATGCCTATAGATACAAAGACTCAGTATGCAATGGGAAGACCAGGACTCAGACCTTAGCTTGGAGGAATTCTAGCCCAGAGGGTGTGGTGATTGAGCAGAGATAGGATAGATGGACCTTTGAACTGTTTGCTTCAAGACAGCCTTTTGCGTGACTGTCTCAGGGTTATGTTGATGTCTCCCTTTGCTGCAGGAAGGATCACTATGGCCGTGGCCTTCCCGAATGCTGCTAGGAAGGTGGCTCAATCTTGATGGACTTGTCTGAGTCGTAGGGATAAATGGGCAGAGCAGCAGAGCAGGACTCTCATTGTCCTCTCTCATCTTGCAGTGACTGACCTGGACATCAAGTTTCAGTACCGTGGGAAGGAGTATGTGCAGACCTTGACCGTGAGCAACCCACAGGGCTGCCGGCTCTTCTATGGGGACCTGGGTCCCATGCCTGACCAGGAGGAGCTCTTCGGTCCTGTCAGTCTGGAGCAGGTCAAGTTCCCAGGTCCAGAGCACATCACCAATGAGAAGCAGAAGCTGTTCACCAGCAAGCTGCTAGACGTCATGGACAGAGGACTGATCCTCGAGGTCAGCGGCCATGCCATTTATGCCATCAGGCTGTGCCAGTGCAAGGTGTACTGGTCGGGGCCATGCGCCCCATCACTTGTTGCTCCCAACCTGATTGAGAGGCAAAAGAAGGTCAAACTCTTTTGTCTGGAAACATTCCTCAGCGGTGAGTCTCTTTTCAGAAGGTTGATGGGTGGGAAGTGGTCCCTGGAAATATATCATCCTCCATTCCTTCCCACTTTCTTGGCTCTGCAAAGATTTTAGCCAAAAAAAAAAATAATAATTTTTTTTTTCTGGAAGAAGTAAAGGTCGAAAAGAACAGTAGTTCTGAGAAATGAAAGTGACCTGGGCAACAAAGAAGGTCATTCCACTCCAATGCTATGTACTTAAGTGCTATTTCTGGTTGGTTTTTTAGCACCTTTAGTGGCAGAAGAGGGAAACAGTCTTGGCATTAGCTCCCAGATGCTACCAGTTTACCCTTTACTTTGGAAGATGACCCTGTTCATCATACTCAGCAAAACGTATACTCTTCACCTTTGAAAAATATCCGAATGGTGAATTCAAGCAGGCAAATTTAGGGAGAGCACTGCATTGTGAATTTTACAATGTGGCTTGAACCCTAAGTCTAACTCAGTGGTTTCCTCTGAAATGATGAAAACGTTCTGTATTTGTGTTGTCCAGTATGGTAGCCACTAGCCACTTGTGGCTATTGAGCATGTTCATGTGACTAAGAAACTAATTTTAATTAAATTGAATAGACACATAATAGGATGGTATTTATGGACGAAATGGCCCAGTACACCAAACTTGCTCTCCACCTTCTGCAGAGCTCATTGCCCACCAGAAAGGACAGATAGAGAAGCAGCCGCCATTCGAGATCTACTTATGCTTTGGAGAAGAATGGCCAGACGGGAAACCCCCGGAAAGAAAACTCATCTTGGTTCAGGTGAGGCGATAAGGGTGTGTCAATACCTCTTTACCTTTTAATCAAAGCTTTAGCTGCTAGGTCTGAGGCAGAGCCCTGAACAGGGACCCATCAGACTGAGTGGGTTTAATCCCATCAGAGGGAGTAGCAGACATGAGCTTTGCACATTGCACAGTAGGTCCACCATGGGGAATACAAGATCCTCAAAGTGGGTGACAGATTTAGTGGAGACCTTTAGCTTTCATTCTTTCTCTTACTGACATTAGTCTTGCTAAAACCGTACAGGATATGACCCTTTCAGCTTTTTTTTTTTACAAAAACCTTTCAATTACCTTTAAGATCACAATCTTATTCTGGGAAGTAAAACCAAGATCACTTGGGTTTGGCCCCTGGGTTTGTACAGCAAGTCTAGGCAATAGATGAAATCTGGGTAAAAGTCTTGCTAAATTAGCAGTTATTTATCTAGATGCATGATATGATGCTACATCTAGATTCTTGACCTTCATGTGAACCAACTTTTAGAGTAAACCGTAGTAGGACAGTTCAGAGAGATGAAGGCATATCCTGTATCTAGAGTGGGGGAACCCCAGAGGGCCTCACTGGTCCTTCCTTCAATCTTGAGTCACTCCTGCTGTTGAAAAATACCCTTTCCTCAGCAGATTCCTGTGTGCTCTGTGTCCCGAACAGGTTATTCCGGTGGTGGCTCGGATGATCTACGAGATGTTTTCTGGTGATTTCACACGATCCTTTGACAGTGGCAGTGTCCGCCTGCAGATCTCGACTCCAGACATCAAAGATAACATCGTTGCTCAGCTGAAGCAGCTGTATCGCATCCTCCAAACCCAGGAAAGCTGGCAGCCCATGCAGTCTACCCCCAACATGCAGCTGCCCCCGGCCCTGCCGGCTCAGTAATCACCAATGCCATCTTCCTTCTCTTTTTTACAATATTGTACATATGGATATTTTTTATTATTCAGATTTAACCAGCTTGTAAAACCTGCTTTCTTTCTAACAATGTTAGTAGTTTCTGACTCTCCAAATAAGTCTGGTTCTTAAAGTTGATTTAATTTATGGAAAAATCACCCTTTGTACTTTCCCTTTCTTTTTTTTATAAACATCCCAATGGTAGTAGAACTGTAATAGTAGGAGATTTGGACACCAGGGTTCTAACTACGGCTTTACTCTCAATGTACGACCTTGAACCAGGTCATTTAACCTCTGGGCTTCAGATTCATTACTGTAAAGTGAAGGGGTTGGACTGATGCCTGAAATAATGCCAGCTTTAAAACTCTGACTTGATGACTTCATTCTACCTGTACAAGGCAAAACTGCCTGGAACAGAACCCTTCTGAATTGTTCTTGTACCAATTTTTTTTTCCCCTTGCCTTCATTAAAGTTCCCTCAAGCACTGATTTGTCCAGGATTGATCTGTTTGACCTGTTCTGCTAGTAGAGTAAGCCGGCTCCCTGATGGGGGAAGTGTGAGGGAAGGCAGCCAGCTGGTTGCCTAGGAACCAAACATGATATCTAAATAGAAATGGGTGCCAAAGTCTGAAAGTCACCCGACCTGTGGAGTAAACGCTCATAAATTGAGCTTCTAAAGGGAAGCTGTCAACACAGAAGGCCCAGGATCCTGTGGACGAATTGGTTGGCTGGTGTTTGCCTCGTCACCACTCGGATACCACTGTGTGTGTGTGTGTGTGTGTGTGTGTGTGTGTGTGTGTGCGCGCGCGCACGTGCGCACATGTGTGGCAGATGAGTGTGTGACTTGCTGGCAGGCTGTAGACTGGGCATGTAGGAAAACTCTGCTGAGTAGAAAAGGGACAGTTCCTTCTTGTTTGGAGAATTTTACAGCCTTCTTATCATTTGGGCTATTTGTATTTGGGAAAAATAGGGTGCTGAGTGGGTTAAGGCTGAGGTGAAGAAGGGCTGGGAAGTGTTTTTCTAGAAAAGACTCACCTTAGCACAAACCTGCTTGTCTCCCTAGTGGAGGTAGCCGGATGTGAATAATGAGGTGTTGAACTTTGCATCTATAGGTGCCACGAATTGGTCTTATCTGTTAACTTTTGCTAGGCCCCTGACCCTTCACCTCTTTTTTTTTCTTCTTCTTTTTTTTTATGGGTAAAATCACACATGATTTAAATTTCAAGGACATCGAGCAAAACATGATGCTAATCTCTGGTAGCACACCCAATCCTCTTGAATACTGATGGCTATGGTGCCAGGCCATATTTATTAATTATTATTTTTAAATATTTTATTTTTTAAAATACATTTTTACTGATTATTTTTACAGAGAGGAAGGGAGAGGGATAGAAAGTTAGAAACATCAATGAGAGAGATAGCTGCTGCTTTCTGTACACCCCCTACTGGGGATGTGCCCCCAACCAAGGTAAATGCCCTTGATGGGAATCGAACCTGGGACCATTCAGTCTGCAGGCCCACGCTCTATCCACTGAGCCAAACCAGTCAGACCATATTTAGAAATGGCATCAGACCATATTTAGAAAGCCCATGTCTAGTCTGCTATCCTTAAACCAAGCCACCTCCTACTTGCTATTGGAGTCAAGCTAGCTGAAAAGTTAAGCTAGTTTTATTTCAAAACCATAGCTTCAATTTAACCACTTGTGTCAGTAGGATTTATTTAGAATGCTTAAGCCCCAGTTTTAGGGTCTCTAAGGGATCTAGTAGGATCTGTTCCTAAAGTCTGACCAAGAGAAATCTGGATAACGCTGAGGTGTTCAGCTGTGAGCTGAAATTTGGCTTCTAGAGACCAGAAAATCATGCAAGGCATAGAAACTATATTTTTGGTTGTTCTGCGGGTGGGCGAAGTGAGGGTTTTTGTTTTGATGTCTGGCTACCTCTGTCTGTGTCTGCATAGCTCCAAAGAATAAAGAATTCACTGTATGTCGATGGGTAGAGCAGCTAGTCCTGGGCTGGTCCCTTCTCTTTATTTTGTGAGATGCTAACAGCCAGGCTGTCCATCTGGATTGGGGCCCAGAGAATGTTTAGCTGGGTATTGAAAGTAGTGTTCTGAAGTGCCAAGAAGCATCACACTCTTAGAATGCGACTGTAATGAAAACTATAAATGTGTCAGAGGAATGGATGAGTGGTTTTATGGGGTCTTAACTAGAGCCCAGTTTCTTTTAAAAAATCCTTTTGAGAATGCTGGGAGACTCATGCAGGCTCTCCACCGAGCCCCCTCAGTGTTCCTTCTTTGGTCCTGATGGATAGATACTGGGTGTCCTTTCTTTTTTGGAGACCTAGGTTACTATCCCCTTTGGTGCCTAAACCACTCATTGCCTTGGTGTTTTCTACTTCCTTGACTTCACCACGATGAGGACTGGGAAGATTTAGATGGTGTCCACTCTATCTCCAAAGTTACGTAGTTCAAAGTAAAAAGAACACACTGTAGGTAACTTGGGAGGGCAAGTGTTGGTTCACCACATATAATTAGGTCTCTGGTCAATGTTGCCAGAGCACCCTGTACTTTCTCTTTCAGAGTCATCAATTTCCTTGTAATTGCTCAGCGTCTGTGTCTTTTTTTTTTTTTTTTTTTTAATATATTTTATTGATTTTGTACCAAAAGGAAGGGAGAGAGATAGAGTTAGAAACATCGATTAAAGAGAGTCATTGGTCAGCTGCCTCTTGCACACCCCCTACTGGGGATATGCCCGCATCCAAGGTACATGCCCTTGACCGGAATTGAACCCGGGAACTTTCAGTCCCCAAGCCGATGCTCTCTCCATTGAGCCAAACCGGTTTCGGTGCGTCTGTGTCTTGACTACACTCTTGCTGAAGTAGGGACTGTTCATTTTGGACTTCGATGCCAGCCTTTAGCATATAGTATGTTTTCAAATATTTGTTGTTAGAATAAATGAATGCACTAAGTAAGTCTTTTATCTTAGGGATTTGTTGGTAACCACCTTGGTAAAATACATATGGGACAGGAAAAAATTCTAAAACTCTGTTTCTGGTCTCTGCTTCTGATTCCCTCTGAGCTAGGGGTTAGAGAGAGAGAGAGACTGGAAGCCCCTACAAACTAGTCTTCCTTCCAGGCTGGCCCCATCTTTACTCCATAATGGTCTCTTCCTCTTCTGAAGACACTTCAAGCTGGGACCAGTAGTGAAACCTCCAGTGTAGGTGCCTGCAATTCCCTTAGCCTCTGCCCTGCCCATGTTATCAATCAATTTAAAATAATAAAGTTAGAAATCTCAGTTGGGTTGGGAAAACCCACACTTAAAAGTATCCAAACCTTTTGAGTTTTTTTGCTTCTGATTTTCACCCAAGGCAGCTGTCACAAGTTACTCAGATCATCAGGCTGTCCTTGTTGGCCAGGAATACTGCTTATTCTCAGATAAAAGTTTTCTCAAAGTCTTTCCCTTCAATTATGGGTCTGATTGCTGGCAGTGAAAGAGGGGTTCACCCTTTGGTGAAATTCTACTTTTCTTCTTAAAGACCTGGTGGAAAAGTTTCTGCACCTCCCTCGACTCATTTCTCATGTGAAGTCAGCAAACTGAATTCCGACAATTTAAGCTGCATGAAGGCTAGGGGGTGAGGGGGAGAGTTGTTTTGTGCGCTGTGACACCTCCGAGAAGCACGCTTAGCACACATTTGCTTACAGGGAGTCCTCCTGCCCTTCACACCTTGCTTAGCCATGACCAACCTGGACCGGGGTAGCTCTGGCCCACCCACTTCTCAGAACCGAGCCACTCACATGTAGGACTGGGGCGGGTCAAAGTTTACAAAACAAAACAAAACAAACCTCTGAAACTCTGTAGCCCCAAAGGAGGTGTGGAGATCCTGCAAAACACGTCGCGCCGTCTTGAGATAAATCTCGTTTGGAGGGGAAGTCGCATTTCTCTCGAAACATAAATGAAAATGTTTCTGCACCGCGTGGGGAGACAGCTGCCCGAGGCCGAGGACGGTAGCAGCGGGCTGCCAATCAACCAGGTCCCGCCTTCTCAGGGCCACTTCTGCCTCTCGGAGGGGCGGGGCCAGCTTCTGGTGGTCGGAAAGGACCCGCCTCCGGGAGAGGCGCGTGAGCGGGCTGGTGACGTCATGGAAAGCGGCGGCAGGGACGGGGGGGAGGGAGGGAGGAGGGGGGGGGGGGGGGGAGGAGGAGGAGGAGGAGGAGGAGGAGGAGGAGGAGGAGGAGGAGGAGGAGGAGGAGGAGGAGGAGGAGGAGGAGGAGGAGGAGGAGGAGGAGGAGGAGGAGGAGGAGGAGGAGGAGGAGGAGGAGGAGGAGGAGGAGGAGGAGGAGGAGGAGGAGGAGGAGGAGGAGGAGGAGGAGGAGGAGGAGGAGGAGGAGGAGGAGGAGGAGGAGGAGGAGGAGGAGGAGGAGGAGGAGGAGGAGAAGAAGAAGAAGAGTCGGGATGCGCATGCGCAATAGACCGAGTCTGCCGCCCGGAAGTCGAGCGGGCGGGCTTTCCAGTGGGGTGATGGGGCGGTAGATTCGTGGCTTGTGTGGCAGCGCGAAGGGACTGGAAAAAGAAGTTCCTGAGCCCGCGAACCTGCAGCGGAAGTGGAAGGAGAACGTATGTGTGTGTGTGATAGAAAGCACGATACATTTGCCCAGAAAAGGGGGTGGGGATTGGAGGGAGCCCTTCCGCGGAGGGTCCGGGGATGTCCGCCGGGAGGCATGGCGGAAATTAAAATACCACCCTCCTCTGCAATTCTTACACATTCCATTTATTTACTCTCACAGGGTGAGATGGTTGTCAGTCCACAATCTAATATATTAAATCAGCAGTTTAATCAGATTTATATTCTCAGAACTATGCTGGCGGGAAGAGAAGGTGACATAGGCAGTGAAAAGAGTACATTTGGAACCGAGAGCTCTTGTCTCCGAGGGCAGTTTTAGTGAGATGCCCTGAATGTTGCAAGAGACTGTCTTCTTGCCTTTTCGTTGCCCCAAATTCTTCAGAGTTTGAATCAGAGAAAGTAATTTACAAAAGCTACAATGTAGAATAGAAGCCAGAAAGAATATAAATCTAACCCTAAATCCAGAAAGACACATGAATTTGGGGTTTCGGGTGATGGAGTCAACCGTAGAAATCACCCCTGCCTGGCCTGGGTTAGCATTCCAAAGCATTAGGGACAAAATGACCTTTGGAAGATGCTATAAGACAGGGGAGGGCTATTGGCAGGTTTCCTGGTATGTATGCTACTGGCTGGTTGTTAATAATCCCCTGGTCCTGCTTTGTTTTTAGGTCCTTTAAGTGTCCGGAGCTCAGAGATGAGGCCCAGGGCATGGAACTGTCTCTAGTTAAAGAGGCCATGCCAGATGTTGCTTCCAGATCCCATGTCAACACCAAGTCCTCAGTTGCTGGTGGCAGCTGCTCAGCGGACCCTGAGCGTGGGAAAGAGACGGGGCCCAGCCCGGGCTGTCTGCCTTCACCTAGCTGGAGAGGTCCTGGCCGTGGCCCGGGGACTGAAGCCAGCTCTGCTCTATGATTGCAACAGTGCAGGGACATCGGAGATCCAGAACTACCTGGGGGAGCTGCAGGGCCTGGGCTTCCTAACCAAGGGACTTCACATCCTTGACATTGGAGGCAACAGCCTGATCATCATACCTGAACATGTATGTCAGCACCTGCAGCAGGTGCTGCTTGGTGCTGTAGCCTTTGTGGATGTTTCCAGCTCCCAAGCTCATCCTTCTGTCTGCTCCCTGGACCAGCTTCAGGACTTGAAGTCCCTCGTAGCCAAGATCATCACCCATCTGCAGGGGTTGCAGAGGGACCTCTCCCTGGTTGTCTCCTGCAGCAGACTCTGCTCCTCAGACTGGAATCTCTGTACTGTGTTCGGGATACTCCTGGGCTACCCTGTTCCCTATACCTTTCACCTGAACCAGGGAGATGACAACTGCTTGGCCTTGACCCCACTACGGGTATTCACTGCTCGGATCTCATGGCTTCCTGGTCAGCCCCCAGTCTTGCTCTATTCCTTTAGTGTCCCAGAGAGCTTGTTCCCAGCCCTGAGAGACATTCTACACACCTGGGAGAAGGGCCTTAGGACTCGATGCAGGGCTCAGAATGACTTTACTGACCTCAGCATCTCCTCTGAGATAGTCACCCTGCCAGCTGTGGCCCTCTGACTGACTCCCCTATAGAGAGTACTCAGTAAATATTCGGCTATTAAGTCGGGGATTACAAAGAGGCATCATCTCCAGTGTCAATTCTGAGCATCTTGAGAACACTGGGGAAGAATGCTCTAGTCAACTAGTCACATCTGTGACGGGCATGGGAACAGGTGGTGGCAGCAGCGTTGGTAGTTCATACTTGCCATTTCTCTACTAAGGAGCCCTCTCGACTTAACTGAAATGTCTATTCCTTTTTTACAAGATAGAAGGTAGAAGGAAAGAGATTGTGGAGAAGGGGAGTGAGGGGATTGGTGGATAAGGTCATAAAGGGGAAAATATAAATTTTAAAAAAGATTGTGGCCCTGACTGATTTGGCTCAGTGGATAGAAGGTCCAGGTTCGATTCCGGTCAAGAGCATGTACCTTGGTTGCGGGCACATCCCCAGTAGGAGGTGTGCAGGAGGCAGCTGATCGATGTTTCTCTCTCATCGATGTTTCTAACTATTCCTCTCCCTCTCTGTAAAAAATTAATAAAATATATTTTAAAAAAGATTGTGGAGAAGAACGGAGGTGGAGGATAAGTAATGTACCCTTGTATACTATATGTATGGCATGGTAATGTTGTAAATATACTCTGTGGGTAGTGTTCACTAGAAAAATAGCAGACCTGGGCATTACTCCATGTTTATATACCTCCGACTGAATTGGGCTAAGGAAAGTAGACCAGGATGCTCAAGTGTCTTATATTTGTGATGTGATATGTCAGTCATTTATGAATAAACCATTCTGGGGAACAGAGATTGTCAGGCGAAGTTTATTTGTTTTACAGTAGGTGTAAAAAAATAATAAAGTTAGAAATCTCAGTTGGGTTGGGGAAACCCACACTGAAAAGTATCTAAACCTTCTGAGTTTTTTATTGAGTTTTTTTTTTTCTTGCTTCTGATTTTCACCCAAGGCAGCTGTCACAAGTTACTCAGATCACCAGGCTGTCCTTGTTGGCCAGGAACACTGCTAGTGCTATAGCAATCATCAGGATCAGCACCGAGAGCCATCGGCCACACTGCCTCTGAGGGTGGAGGGGGAGAAAAGAGAACCATGGGTTGTTGGTGAAGATACAGGCAAAAACCAGTTTCCTTCCCATCCCGGCTCAGTGGGAACTCCTGGGTTGGTGGAAGAGGGGAAGGTTTTCTCTGTCGTTTTGTTACCTGCCTTGGGATAAAACCACTTTGCTGGTAGTCACTGGTCCACCAGCCAGCATCATTGGCTCAGGGGACCACAGCCAGCTGTGGCTAGATACTTAAATTCAAGTCCAATCAAAGGTGGAAAATAACTCAGCAAAATTGTATTGCTCTCTGTTCATACTCCTTGTTACATTTTCTCTCCTCATTCTGTCCTTGCCACTACACTCAATAGGCCAAAAAACACCATTTCAGCTGAAACCGGTTTGGCTCAGTGGAAGAACGATGGTCTGCGGACTGAAAGGTCCCAGGTTTGATTCCGGTCAAGGGCATGTACATTAGTTGCGGGCACATCCCCAGTAGGGGCCTGTGCAGGAGGCAGCTGGTTGATGTTTCTCTCTCATCGATGTTTCTAGCTCTCTATTCCTCTCCTTTCCTCTCTGTAAAAAGTCAATAAAAATATAAAAAACAAACAAACAAAAAAAACACCATTTCATATGTTAGCTAATAGTAAGTTCCTTCATGTTTAAGAGTTGTTCCATTAAAAAAAAACAAAAAAACAAACAAACAAAAAAAAACCCTGGCTGGTGTGCTCAGTAGTTTAGAGTGTTGTCCTGTGCACAGCAGGGTTGCAGGCTCGAATCCTGGTCAAGGGCATGTACCTGGGTTGCATATTCCCATTGGGCTGTGTGCAGGAGGCAACCAATCAATGTGTCTCTCACATTGATGCTTCTCTCTCTACCCTCCCACTCTAATGTCAATGGGAACATATCTTTGGGTGAGGAATAACAACAACAACAAATGAAAATTAAGCTGGGGTGCATAAGCCAGTGTTTCTTAAATGGTTGTTATACTGTCTGTATAAACCAAGCTGAATGGGACAGGCTGGTCAGAAGATTTGGCTAAAGGAGGAACAGTCCCACCATCACCTAGGGCTGTATGGGAGGATCATGCTCTTACTCCGGGTGGCAGCTGCTGGCTCTGGTTCAGGTCTTCTCGGCAGTGCTGCAGCTTACGCAGGCAGGAAAGATACTCATCACTGAGGTTGTCTAACTCTGAATACAGTTCTCTGCACTGTGGGGGAGAATACCACCAAGGTCATGGCCAGGTAAAGAAGAGGGCCCCATGTAAGTTACCCATTCATCCATTTGGAATTTGTACCACCTTCCTTCCTTCCCAGCTTTTCTCAGTGATTTCTGTTTGCCTTTTGCTATGTGACCTAGTTTGTCTGGAATGGGTTCATTTACATGCGTGATTATAATGCATGTTATGTATTAGTTACTTATAGGTGTTATATAAGTATGTGCGTTCATGTGACAGCGTGCAAGTGCTTTGTAAATGGGGGACATCAACAAAATGAAATTCTTACAGCACCGAAGACCTGGAAGTAATCACAGTACATGGCTCTTGGTCAGTAGCTGAGGATATGTGTCTGTGAATTTGTAGATAGGAAGAGTTTTGTTCCTTAAAAGACTATAAAGTTTTAACATACTCAGTGTAGCGCAAAGTTTGAGGAGTTAATGTTCATTAAGCGTGTTGGAGTTTAGGTTGACTTATTAAAAGGCAGCTAATAAAATGAATGAGGATTGTATGAGGTAAAAAAACAATCGACAAACTAACCCTAAAGCAAGGCAGTTTTTACGGTCAAATGAATACCTGGAGGCATCCAATCACAAGGTCTGGTGTTGAAATCCCTGCTCTCTGGATGCCTCCAACATTTTCCCTATCTCTGTAGGCTGAGCCCCCCACGACTACCTGAGTTCAGCCTCTCACCTCCTTTTCCTTGGCCTGGAGCTGCAAAGTCTTCTTTTGCAGCTGGTCTCTGAAATCCCAGTCTTTCTCCTTCCCTGTACCCTCAGGCTCCACTTCGTTATGGGAGGTCTCTGGACTCCACTCAGACAAAGCCTGATCTAAAAAAGCAGCCAGATTCTCAGTGATGGTGAGGCCCACGCCTCTGAGGGAGGGCCCTGCCAATGAGAGGACCCCTGGGAGTGAGGGGAAGGGTGGGGAGGGAGAAAGAGAGGGCCTGTCTTTGGTTAGCCTTCACGGAATGGAATTCCCTGACTTTTAAAGAACTCCCAGTGGGACCCTGCTCAGACTGGACAGAGAGCTGGAATTTGAGCCCCATTGTGGGTAAGGCTGGTATCTTACTTTTCTTTGTTTCCCTAGTCCTGTCTAATGCCAGATACTTTTAGAGTATATTTCTTATTCCAATTTCTTTGGTTAGAGGTCACTTCTTTTCTAGTTTTGCTGGTAGGCTTGTTGGATGTTTCAATATAACCCCCTTCCCTTCTGTCCTCATTTCAGTCATGAGAAGGCAGTCATATCCTAGAATTCATTCTCATGTGGTTAAAAATGGTTTTTCAGCAACCTGGCAGTCTTAGTGTTGTGAAGAGCCCATTGGACAAATGGTTAAATTCTGCATTGTTGTCTTAGCTGTGCCTTTAATTTGTGTGGCCACAAGACCGTCATTTTCTTATCCATACTCTGTGGGTGTAATAATTTCTACCTTACATTTACCCAGTGATTGTGATGAGGAAACAAAAGGCCTGGTGTAGTGGTAAGTGAGGAGTTTTTGCCCCTCCATCTACATGATGGATTCTCAGGAAGCTAAGGCAGCAGACTCTTGAGGGCTGAGAGTTGAGGTAACTTTTGCATGCAACATGGTTTAGAAGGGGGGAAGCAGGATGTGATTTGGAAAGTCAAGTGTAAAAATTGACATGCGATCCTGAGTTCAAAATCAATTTATTGAAATGTTCAACACAGACATGTTTTCAGGGGAAGTGGAAATTCTTTTTCACAGTTTACGTACCTCTCAGGGTAGGAGGCTAACTAGTTAAAGTGTGCTCAGAGCCAGTGATCAGTCCTTAGAAAGCTTCCCCAGATCCCTGACCTAACAGATGCCAGAACTGGATGGGACTCCAGGAGGCCATGTAGTCCATCCCCCTGCCTCTAGGCAGGCACGGAAAGAGCAAAGTCTTAGAATTTGTGGAAGTAAATTTGCTGACCTTTCTTTATTAAGGGTTTCTCCTGCTCTTGAAGCTGTAAGGATTGACTCTGAAGCAGACCTGTTGGAAAACACAAGAAACGTGTCCGTGTTGGTATGTTTACTGCAAAGCGTGGCTTTTCAGAACTTTGCTCAGAACCTTAATATTAAAGATGTTTCCCCATCTATTATTGGTTAAATTGATTAAACTGTGTTGAAGTCAAAACTTATAGGATCTCAGCATGCGATCTTTTTGGAGGTAGGCATTTTACAGAGGTAATCAAGTCAACATAGGGTGGCCCTAATCGAATATGACTGGCATCCTGATAAGAAGGGGACCTTTGGATACAGACATGCATCGATGGGAGACATGTGAAGAGACACACGGAGAAGACAGCAGCTACAAGCCAAAGGGAAGTAGCTTGGAACAGATCCTTCCCTCAAAACCCTCAGCAAGAACCAGCCTTGCCATGATAATAGGTGGTTATCATTGGCATGGAAGGAAAAAAAGTAGAAAAGAAAAAAAAAGGACAGGCTAATCTATAACATGTGAAGAGCTACGTAAATGACCTCCCTTCACGGAACAGGGATGTTAGAGGTAGGGGAGCTGCCAAAGACTGGACCCCAACCCCTTCTCCATGGGGCAGGAGCCCCCAGGAACACCGACCGGAAGGCCACCCGTGCTACTTTTCGAATCCGGAAAGGGAACTTACTCTGCAACTGCTGTACTTGGGTCACCAGGGCGAGTTTCTCCTCCTCTGACCTCCTTAGTTGATCTATAAAGGAAATAATACAAGCCAAAATAGAAGAACCCAAGATTAATGCACTCCACACACGAGGATGGAAATTCATAACAGGCACTGCCTTGCCCGTGGCCTCTGATATGTGTCAAGTGCAAGTTGCCCTTCCTTCTGCTTGTCCCACTTCTGAAGAGGCAAACCAGACCCAAAGCCCCTTGGATGTCATTTGCATTAACAAACGGGTGCATGAAAGTGTTTTATTTGCCCCTGGTTTGGTCCTCTCAGCTGACTGCTCAGCTCAGAAACCTCTCAACTGGCCTTTCCCTTTCAAATCTGGAATGTGGCCTGGACACATGTGACCTGTGTGGAGCTGCTGTGGTCTGGCCCAGAGGGATGGGCCGGAAAAGAGCTGACACTCCGAGATTCGCTAGTGCCACCAACTCAGTTTTCAGTCATTTAGATTCAGTCATTTAGATCCCTTAAGGTATAATGGGACCTTAAAGTCAACTAAACAAACCAGTGAGAGACCGCACGAAGCCCCTTTCTCCATCCAGCTCCTTTGACTGGTCTCACTCGGCTAGAGGCCCCTGAGGAGAAGGGTACCTTGGAGGTGCTGGGTGTCGGAGCTGCACAGGTCTCTGTCTCCCTGGAGGCATTCGATCTTGGCCTGCAGCTCCTGGTGCTCATTCTCCAGGAGTCGCAGAGCCTGGTTCATCTGTAAGTCTCTGCTGTCTGCTCCCTGCAGGGAGGAAGAGGGGCCGATGCAGAGGCCGGGCAGTGCTAGGGTGGAGGGGTGGGGGGGCAGATCCCATGGAAGAGGAAAATTACAGGAAATTGTAGAATTTTAGAGATAGGAATACCAGAGAAATAGAAACATAGAGACTTGAAAAAATCTTGCGTTTGCTCTGCTCTATTCTTTTATTACAAATAATGCATCACACACACACACACACACACACACACACACACACACACATATATATATATATATATATATATATATATATATATATATATATGTGATGCATTATTTGTAATATATATTTGTTTTGTTTTGTTTTTAATATTCACAAGGGACTCATATGGTAAATGTCCAAATTCAGGAATACCAAATCATCATTTTTCTAGATGTTTTCACTTTATCTTTACATTTCATCCTAGCATTATCAATTTTTTTTGGTGGCATCATTTTCACAAAGAATTAAGGTTATAAAGATTTGTAAGAGTCGCTTTGTAGGTGATTTGAGATAGTGATGCAATGCAGTGGTCAGTAGATTCATTCATTTGATAAGACACACTCTTATCAAGGAAACTGTATTCAGATCCCTGCTTCAGGAAAATTAGATAAACCTTTTGATTTGAGTCCTCACAATTCCAAACCAAGTAAGAGAAAATCTATGGAAAATAACAGCTAATATTATGAGGGCTCATATATACCAGGAATGGTGTTAAGTGCTTTGCCTGGATACACCATTTACCCCTCTTAGCAACTCTATGATAGAGCTACTTATTTTCGAGATGAAGAAACTGAGGCTTGAGGTTGGTTAACTTCTCCAAGATAATGCAGATCAAAAATGATAGTACCCTTGAGAATGCGAGGGACGTGGCAGGATGTGTTACTACCCAGCCTATAAGAAAACTAATGGCATTTGTTCTGTGCCAGTAGCGGGCATTTCTGGATCGGATGCTGGCCTGGGATGGGTGCAGAGGTTGGATTGGGATCCGACAGTAGGCTGATGAATATTTCAGCCCTTTGCATTCGGATGGTGCCATTCCAATAAACACTTAGTTTGTCTGCGTGGGCAGTGCAAATGTCCTTGCTAACCTTGACATTAGATTTCAGAATCAAAACAGTGAGTCTGGGACAAAGTGGGCAGTGAATGAGGAACCAAAAGCCAGATGCTCTCAACTGCCTCTGGGGCCCCCAGTCCAGGAGCTGCTTCTCTCATCACTGCTGTTGCAAACCCTCTTCCCCCTAAACCCCGCCCCCTATCCCACCTCCCCACCTCCCCACCTCCCCACCTTCCCACCTCCCCATCTTCCCACCTCCAGGGCCTGGTACCTGCAGTTTGGACTGAAGCACGTGGAGCTGGCTCTCCAGCTCTCTGTGCTGGGTCCCCAGGGCCCTCCAGTCTTCCTTCAGAGCCTCATATTGGCTCCTCCATTCTTCACATTTCTGCTCGGCCTGAGCCAGGGACCGCTGAGGGAGAGCAAGGGAGAGGGTGGTACCTTGGTTCCTGGGAGTTTGTGCAGCTGACTCCCAGCACCGCCCTGGGTCCCCAGTTGCAGTCACCATGCAGTGCCTCATACCTGTGTGCTCTGCAGCTGCTGCTCTGCGCTCATTTTCTCCTCCAGCACTTTCTGCAGGGACTCTTTGGCTTTCTGCTCATAGCTGTTTTTCTGGTCTTCCATCTCCATCAGCACCTTCTTCATCCCCCAAGGGGAATATTTCTGCAAATTTGATGCAATTCAACAAGTACACGTTGAACTTCCGTGTGCAATCCTGAGCTCGGATACTGACGTGAAAAGAATTTGCCCACAGGGCAGAGATACCAGTAATCTGGTGGAGTTTTTCTTCCCCGGGAGAGCCCGGCAGGGAAAGTCCCTCAGGTGCTGTGTAAGTTGAGCAGAGATAATAAACAGGGCCCTTGGCAAATCTTTCTAAATCTGCTCCTTTCTCTCGGCTTGGCTTCCAGTATCTCAGTGACCAGCATGATCACCAATCCCATCTCCCGAGCTCTAAAACTGGGAGTTGCCATGATTTCTCTCTTGCTTTTTCCCAGGATTCAGTTGGTCATCAATCTTGTCAAGTTAAGCTCCTTTTCAGCTCACACCTGTCACGTCTCTAGCCTACTACCAATCCCTTAGTTCAGACTCTAATAATGTTATATGAATCAATGCAAACTCAGTGCCGCAGCTATAAGGTTCTTTCTAATATGTAAATCTGATCCTGTCACAACCTGTTTCAACCTCTCAGTGGATTCCCAGGGTCCTAAGGACCAGGTCTAAATTCCTCGGCATGGTCCCTACTTAATAGGCTGGGGCTTTCATTCTATGCCTCCTCCACCCAAGCTGAACTGCTTACACATTTCCTAAGCCATTGCCTTTGCCCATGGAACTGCTTCTGCCTAGACTCTAGGCCCTAGAGCATCCTTACCCACTCTTTTCACCTTGTTAACTTCTACTCATGCTCAAGATTCAACCCAAGAATCATGTAAATTAAATCTTATCTTACCCCCAAACATTATGGGTTAGGTAGCTCTTTTTAGTGTTCACATAGTATCTCCTGCATGTCTCTATCTTTCTACTCTACCCACAACCTTTTGATGTATAGGACGACGCCCCAAACAACCTAGCAGCACAGCCAGGGCCCTATGCCTTTCACCTTTAAAAATATATATATAATTGATTTTTTACAGAGAGGAAGGGAGAGGGATAGAGAGCTAGAAACATCAATGAGAGAGAAACATTGACCAGCTGCCTCCTGCACACCCCCCCACCGGGGATGTGCCCACAACCAATGCACATGCCCTTGATCGGAATTGAACCTGGGACCCCTCAGTCTGCAGGCAGATGCTCTATCCACTGAGCAAAGCCTTTCACCTTTATGCTCTGTGATTTTGGGGAACACAGGTAGCTTTTATTGTCAATTCTGGATTACCCACTGGGTAAGCAGTAACCTAGTTAATGCAAATTTAGGGATCCATATGAAATTCCCATTTAGCTTTGAAATCACCTGAAAATTTGGACTTCAATGTAAATGGGTCTTATGCTCTTAGAATTTTCATTAGAAAGCATATCCAGGAATTATCAGTTGAGGTCATACAAGGGAATGTTCCCATTATTGGACTTAAATGTTCTGGTCGCTGGACAGCTTTATCCTCCATTGAAAATGAACGCATTGGCATTCTGGATTATATGTCGGTCTCTTATGAGTGGTTGGCACAATTTAGTTTATAATTTAGAATTTGACAAGAGGTCATACTGAAAGTTTAAAGTTGTGGATCAGCCAATCGATAGACTCTTCCATAAACTCCTCTGTGTGGCCAGGCCCACCTTATCTCCCTAACTCCAGATAGGAGCAATCTTCTTGCTCCAACTCAGTCTCTCATTTGACATTGTCCCCACTTATCAGAAACACATCACTTCGAAAGTGTGAAAGCTGGTTTCTTTCTATCTCTTCCAATCCAAGATCAGGCCAATCAAGCTTCGGATTACCGAAGCTGGATAACAATGCCGCAGGGAAGCCAAGAGTTCAGCCTTACAGTATTGTCCACAGGTTGCTACAAGATGAAAATTACTCATGGAATTAAAAGAATTTTGAAAAATTTCATGATAACATTCAACTCAACTGTTCAAAAACTGGGACCTGTGTAGGCCTAGTTGGTAGGGTGTGAATCCCTACCACAGGCTCCTCCCTATAGCTCCCAGTATTCTACAGGTTGTCCTGGAGCTGGCAAAGTGCTTGGTGCTGAGATTCCTCCCCAGGGTGCCAAGGGAAGGACACTGGGAGAAAGGGAGAGGAGGATTGAGGAAGAACGTGGACACGTGGTATATTGGGGATCAAAGTGAAAATAGCAAAGCCAGAACTGGGTGAGTAGGAGGGTGCACTTTCATCTCTATCCGGTGGCATTTCTAGAGCTTAAGATTGAGATTCAAGCATCCTCCTTGAATCTAGATTCCTGAGCTAGAAGTGTTCTCCGGAAGGCTTACCTGGGTACAGGTGTACAGTTGGTTTTCTAAGGATCTCAGTTTGCCCTTCAATTTGTCTTCATTGAGCTGTCCCTGGAAGAAATGGGATGAATAAAAGAGTTTGGGCCAAAATATAGCATACAAAATGTTTGGTTCTGTATTCCCAGCCTACTGTCTAGAACATGGCCTATGCTCCATGTTTGCCAAACTGAACTCTTTCAAGAAGTAGGGAAGAGGAAAGATGACAAAGGATTATTTTGGTAGGAGAGGATCGATTCCTCTTTTTCTGGAATAGGAAAAGAAAGAATCAGACTGGCCCCAACGACCTCTCTCTACTTTGAGTTTCTCTATCATATGGCTCAAGGATCCTAGCAGGGTTTTCTTAAGGGAACCTGTCCTTTCCTACCCTTGTTACCTCTCTCCTGTCTGTCTGGGCACCTGTGTACTCCTCATCTGCTCTCAGTCTTGTATGTGGACCTTTACTTCTAAAGTATAGGTGATTGCTCTCCTAGGGGGAGTATAGATTCTCTCTCTTACCCCTTGTTATGTGCTGAATTGTGCCTCTTCCCCCCGCCACTAACCCCCATTTCTATGTTGACATCCTAACCCCTTGTACCCCATAATGTGACTATATTTGGAGAAAGGGTCTTTAAAGAGGCAGTTAAGTTAAGATGAGGTAATCAGGGTTGGCCCTATTCCAGTGTGACTGGTGTCCTCATAAGAGGAGGGGACTGGAATATCAGGATACACAGAGGGAAGACCATGTGAGGACACAGGGAGCAGACAGCATCTGCAGGCCAAGGAAAAAACCCAATCTTGTCAGCACCTTCACCTCAGACTTCCAGCCTCCAGAATTGTGAGAAAATACATTTCAGTTGGATAAACCATTCAGTCAGTCTTTGGTACTTTGTTATAGCAGCCTTAGCAAACTTATACACTCCCCTCACTGTCCCCCCACCCCCATCCCGTCGCCTCACTACTCAAAATGAGAAATTCTTTAAGAAAGCAAGAAATGAGAGTCCACAAGACTGACTCATTAAAGTGTCCCTTAGGGACACATGAGTGATGCTTTACTAGTTATGCAAAGATGCCCCAGATACTTTAAGAAAATGAAGTCGATCTGTAGGTTCTGGTATGTAAATATCTTCAAACTACATTATTACATGTAAGTGTGAGGTACAGAAAATTATGAACAATATATATATTTTATTAAATATGTGTATGACTTTTTGACAGATATACATAAAGACATCTGTATAGATTATTTATGTATCTTCCCCTCAGCCTTCATGCTTAGAAGGAATTGTAAGAAACTAACAGTGGTTATGTTTTTGGAGAAGGTCCTATGGGGGATGTTCATGGGAGAGTAAGGTTTTACTTTTGAAAAGTGATTTTACTAACAATATACACATACTGTGTTTTTTTATCCCAATAAAGTTTATGTGGCAAAACAGAAAGAAAGAAATGGAGGAGAGATGTTAATGCAGTGTGTGTGTGTGTGTGTGTGTGTGTGTGTGTGTGTGTGTGTGTAGGGGTGGGTGGTAGAAGGACTTTCCAGAAAGCTACATTCTATTTACTCATCACTGGATCTGCCTAAGGGCATGGTGGACATTGCAAGAGGGATGCTGATCTCAAGAGCGAGGGTAGAGAAAAGCAGGCAGAAGGGGCCCCTTATCTGATCCTCCACTTTTCAGCATTTGAGCTCAGGAGCTAACAACTTCCTTGCTGCCACCTGTAGACTCATCTCTTTTCCCCAGGTAGGGGGTTTGGTCTTCCAGCCCTGAACTTGACTTAAGGAGGGAGTGGGGAGAGGGAAGGGTGCCATGGGGAAATAGTTTCCCAAAGGCAAGGATGGGTCTCCTTAGGAGTAACTGATGCTTTTACCAGCCAGGCCCTGTGGGAGGGACTTGTGAGGCCTCTTCCACCTCCGGCCTGAGGTGCTCGGGCTCCTCTCAGGGGCATTTCCAATGTCCCTAACGGTTTCCTGGGGCTGAAGAGGGGACTCTGTTTTGAGGTGCCCCTCCCCCCCAGCCCCAGGGAGCTCAGGGCACCTGGGGTAGGCAGGAAGTGGTATCTCACAGCTCCAGTTAGATGGTTAGACTGATTCTTCTAACCCGGGGAGCCAGGGGGCGCCCCCATCCTGTCTGCTTCCTGTATTACTCAGCTGGGCCTTGCAAAAGCAAAAGGCTTTGCCGAAAATAATGTTTCAAAGTGCCTCCTGCCCCTGGTGTTTTCCCTAGCGTCTCGTGTGAGAGCGGAGAGGCAGGGATTCCGTGAGGACAATAACCACAGGGCTCTGGGACCCATAACAGAGCCCGACAAAGACCTCCACTGTCCTGGGCTCCAGGAGAGCTGGTTCCAGGGCTGCATTCCCCAGGGCGGCCTGTGCATTGTCAGGGCCCAGGTCCTGAAACCCACGCCCTCCACACCCGCATCTCCTGCCTCAGATCTTCCGACCGAGCAGAGTTCTCCTCGGCCTGAGCTCCTGCTCTCAGATTGCAATCAAGCCCATGGGTTTAAGGTTTATCTCGCTAGACCTTGGGAAGAAAACAGACCAACCCACGGCAACATTCTTACGTTTCCCCCAGGGTCCTACCCTTTTTCGGTGGCTCCTCTCTCCTCCCTTTCTCTGGTTTCAACTCAATATTTTACCTCTTCCAACTGTTTTTGTATCTTAGCCACACCCCGGGTTACGTTTCCGTTCATCTTGCAATGTGACACAATTCAGCAGAACCCCCTTTACCGGGGGTCAAGGGCCACTCAAATCTTGGAATAAAAACAACAACAACAGCCGAAGGGGCTGATTGGGAGGAGGAAGAAGAGGAGGGTGAGCAGTGGATAGAGTGTTGGCCTGCAGACTGAAGGGTCCCAGGTTTGATTCCGGTCAAGGGCATGTACCTGGGTTGCCGGCACATCCCCAGTAGGGGGTGTACAAGAGGCAGCTGATGGATGTTTCTAGCTGTCTATCCCTCTCCCTTCCTCTCTGTAAGAAATCAATAAAATGTATATTTTTAAAAACACAACAACTCTCTTGCCTATAGCTCTGCACAGACTTCCCAAGACAGGCAGGACAGTTGCAGCCAAGTTGTTGCAAACAGGGCATGTAGTTTCCTGGTTTGAGCCCCAGCTCTCCCCACAGGATGTGGGGAGAAGCACTTGTTACAGGCCTGCGTGGACTTTTTGGGGCAGTCACACCCCCAGAGCCCAGGGCTCAGGGAGTCCAGTACCCCCGTTTGGAGAAGGGAGCGAGGTGGAGGCCATACACACCTGGTGCCGGTCTAGGGCTTGAGCTCCCGTGTCTACGCGGCTCTCCCCTGCCTCTGCTCTCCAGGCACACCAGCACCGCACCGCAGAAGCGCTGGCCCCCACTCACCGCAGAAGCAGAGGCGCCAGCTCCCTCTGCCTTCCCCGAGGTGACTGTCAATCTCAGCCAATCCCCGGCCGCGCTGTCATCTCAAGATCTCCTTTCTACTTTGCGGAACTTAAAAGCCCACTGGTGCCCCACTCCTGTTTTTTTATTGCCCAATTCTGAGAAGTTGCTTTCCTGCACGGACTGCTTTTGCTCTGCAGGTTGTACCCTAGGTGGTACCCTAGGAACAAGGCATCCAAAAGGCCCAGCATCAGCTTGGAGGCTGGGGGCCGTGGAGGGAGCTGATCCTTGGGGTTTCTCACAGAGTTTGCTGTGAGCATCTCTGCATTTGAAGTTGGAGATTCAATTCATAGAGACCAAATGGGAAAAAATAAAAGTCTGAACTGGGCTGAATGTCCTGTTCCGGCCATACCAATTATTTCCCCCAAAATACAAGGGCGTGTGCAAGCGGCAGCTGATCGATGTTTCTAGCCTTGTATTAAAGTTGAGGTTTCCATGGAAGGGGTAGCAGGTTGAATTGCCTTGTTTTGGTGCAAAAGTAACTGAAAAGTCTTTATTGAAAAGTCTGAGACCATTTTTCTTAAAAACAGGAAGCGAGGGGGTTGATGGGGAGGAGGTAGAAGGGGAGGGTGAGCAGTGGGAGGGACAGGAAGAGAGAAACCACAGCCAGGGGGACTTCTGCTCACCTGCTGGAGTGTGTGGTGTAAAACTGCCCCCAGAGTCTACCTCGAAAATGTCTCTTACCCATTACCACCCCTTCCCCATTCCCTCCGAGCTTGCTGCCATTCCAGCTCTGATTGTGTCCTATTGTGGGATATTGTAAGTGCTCACTACCCGCACACTACCCCGAGCCAGGGTCCCCACTGTTGTCAGAGAACCTTTTAAAACACAGTCTCATCACTCACTTTCAATTCAGTTCCGGGGCTATTGATTGAGCTCCTTCTAAGGATGGACCAGACACTATAGGACTTTTTTTTTTTTTTTATCCTCACCCCAGGATACTTTTTCCATTGATTTTTAAAATATATTTTTATTGATTTTGGAGAGGAAGGAAGAGAGAGAAAGAGAAAGAGAGAGAGAGAGAGAGAGAGAGAGAGAGAGAGAGAGAGAGAAACATTTATGATGAGAGAGAATCATGGATTGGCTGCCTCCTGCAAGTCCCCGACTGGATTAAGCCCACAACCCGGGCATGTGCCCTTGACCAGAATTGAACCTGGGACCTTTCAGTTTGCAGACTGATGCGCTATCCACTGAGCCAAACCAGCTAGGGCTCCATTGATTTTTTTTTTTTTTTCTTTTCTAGAGCAAGTAGAAGCAAGGGAAGAGGGGAGGAGAGAGAAATGATTTGAGACACATCGATTGGTTGCCTCCCTCTGGTGCCCTAACTGGGGCCTGGGATGGAGCCTGCAACCAAGGTACATGCCCTTGACTAGGAATCAAATCCACGACCCTTTGGTCTGGGGGCTAACACTCTAACCACTGAGCAAAACCGGCCAGGGTGACACTGTAGGACTTTTAACCTGAATAAAGCCTAGTTCTTTTCTATCCTGCTTGTCTACAGCCGTGTTTCACAAACTGGAGATAACACGCACTCTCATGGATCTGAGATATCTGTATTTTCCCTCTAAAATGGAGTCTGTACACTATTTAAGCTTGAGATACTATGTTCAACAGAAAAAGTCTAACGGTCACAATTCTAGAGGCTTGTCTGAGGTCATTTCTGGCCTTATCTTTGCAACCACCCTGACACGATCTCTTCGTCTCAGCCACACTCTGCTACACCCAGTGCTTTGTCATACCTCGGCCTGGACGCGTTCTGGTTCTTGGCCCTTCTGCTTTTTCTGCCTCATCACCATTCCCACTTTGGTCCAGGTAAACTCCGCCTCATCCCCCAGGACTCAGCTCCATGGTCCCTGTCCTTCAGAACCTGCCCTATTCCACCTCAGGCCAAAGAATAGCTCTCTTCCCTTCTCTGGGCTACCTCGTAGACACGGCTGTTACAGTTTTGTCACATTGTGTTGGTTGTTTATGGCATGTCTTTCCCTTCCCTGCTGAAGGTGAGCCTCTCAGCCGCAAAGACCCCGCGCTTCACTTTTCCCGGTAGCACAGGGCCCAGTACAGAGTGGGAACTTATCAACTGTCTGTTGAGTAAAAGAGAGAAACTTCTCCATGTAGGTCAGCATTGGAAACCTTCTGGTCTGCACAGCTGCCTGCCCGAGGCTCCTAGTCTATGGATGGAAAGGACTTCCTTAATCAGGAGCATAGATACCCAAACCCAGGCCCAATGAGGGATGCGAGGAGGGAGGGCTGAGCTTAGGAAATCTTTCTTACATCACTGCAAACATCTCGTTTGGTTCCACGCCCTCCATTTCCTCTTTCTGTCTGAGCATAAGCCATCTGCGCGGTGGGCTAGACTATAGGGCACAGAGGCCCTCGAGGATGTGGGTTCTTTTCTTTGCACTTGGTGCTTTACGCTCTGATGGCGTCAAACTGCTTGCAGCTCCCTAAACACACTGGCCTAGGGGTTTCCGTGTGGGATCTGAGGGGCCCCGGGAATCCCTGAGACCTTCTCAAGCGAGTTCTTCCCTTTCCCAGCTACAGATCAGTTTGAGGTCAGAGTTCCCTCATATGCTTTGACCAAAACAATGTTTTGCAACAGATTGACTGCAGAAGCAAATCTGAGAATGTAGCTGTCTTATGTTCAGCCAGACATTATAAAAAAAAAGATTTGTAAAAATTTAAAGCAGTGGTACTCCTTTTACTATTTTTTAAAAATATACTTATTTTTCCTAAAAATGTGAAGTTTAGGTTAACATGTAATGGATTTACTATTGTTATTTTAAAATGAATATGTACTTTAAGATTCCTGTTTTTAATTTCTAATATGGTAAATTTTTAACATGGCAAATATAAAATTTGGGGGGGCGGGGAGAGTTTCATTGTATCTTTTTAAAGAGCATAATGGGGTCCTGAGATTAGAAAGTTGGCGTCTCATTGCACTAGTACAGTGGTCGGCAAACTCATTAGTCAACAGAGCCAAATATCAACAAAACAATGATTGAAATTTCTTTTGAGAGCCAAAATTTTTAAACTTAAACTTCTTCTAACGCCACTTCTTCAAAATAGACTTGCCCAGGCCGTGGTATTTTGTGGAAGAGCCACACTCAAGGGGCCAAAGAGCCGCATGTGGCTTGCCAGCTGCAGTTTGCTGATCACAGCACTAGACTATATAATGCCCCTTGGTCTTTGCCTGTGTCATATTCCTTGTCTGAAATATAGTCCCTTCTTCCACATTTGCCTGGAAAATATTTAGTTAAATAAATATATAATTAAATATATATTTTCTTGGTTCTCATCTTCTTTAGAGTTATTCATTCCTTATTATATATTACTATATCCTGAAACATTTCTTTAAAAAATATTTTTATTGCAAAAACCGGTTTGGCTCAGTGGATAGAGCATTGGTCTGCGGACTGAAAGGTCCCAGGTTCGATTCCTGTCAAAGGCATGTGCATTGGTTGCGGGCACATCCCCAGTAGGCGGTGTGCAGGAGGCAGCTGGTCGATGTTTCTCTCTTATCAATGTTTCTAGCTCTCTATCCCTCTCCCTTTCTCTCTGTAAAAAATCAATAAAATAATTTTTAAAAAAATTGATTTCAGAGAGGAAGAGATAGAAACATCAATGATGAGAGTTACTGATTGGCTGTCGCCTTCACGCTTTCTACCTGTGATTGGGCCCATAACCCTGGCATGTGCCCTTGTCTGGAATCGAACCTGGGACCCCTCAGTCCACAGGCCAATGCTCTATCCACTGAACCAAACTGAAACATTTATTTCTCATATCTCTGAATTTGTTTAGGCATCTGACTCCCTGACAAAACCAGAAGCTCTCTGCAAGCAGGAACCCTGTGCAATTAATCTCACTATTTCCAGTCCTCGGTACAGAGAACATGATCTATGAATATTTGTTGAATGAATGGGCTGACATCAGGAGGTCTAAGTGTTAGTTTCAGTCCTGCCCCTAACCAGCAGTGTGACTTCTGGTGAGTCACCTGACTTCTCTGACACTGTTTTCTCGTGGGCAAAGTGAGACAGACCGGAAGACCTCTACGGGTCTTTCCCACCCTCGGATTCCCGTCTGGGCTGAGCAGTAGGTGCATGCCAGCTGGGAATTCATATTGGTATGAGTGCCACACAAAAATAACTGGCATTTACCACAGCTAGTAATAGTCACTGTGTTGGGATCCCCCTTCTCCCAACAAATTAAAAATTGGGGATTCTTGCCCCTTTTGTTTCTGGGTCATCCCTGAGTTATACACAACAGCCTACCCTTTGTGGCCCTGGATTTTGAGCCGTCCCATATATTTTCTGTGACCATATATTTGCTGTTTGATGTCTAGGTCTTACCACCATTCTCTACCTCCCGTCTCTTCAGTTGTGAGGAAACACACACAAAACCCCTACTCTTGTAAGGATGGCATGGAAAGAAGAATGAGATGGGCAAACTTAGAAGCCAATGAGCTTTGTTCAGACAGAGGTTTCATTTCCCTTACCTTCCAAGAACTGTCAGAGGCTCTGATCAGGGTGGACAGTAGATCTTGGAGAATCACCATTTTTTGTTTCAGAACCAGCTCTCTTTGCAGGGCCTCCTGGGAGCAGAATGCAAGAGGGCAAGATTAACCTGGCGCAGGAGAGGGTACAAAGATGGAGGAGTTGAAGGGAAAGTTCACGTTACTTACTTTGAGGTACTCGGAAAGCTGGATGATTTCCTAGAGAGAAAGGAAAGGGTAGTCAAGAAGACTCTAGTTCTCCTGAAGTCCCGGGACATGGAACCAGAGCCGGAGTTGACTCGTGCAGAGTAAACTTTCTTCCTTGGTTCAGACAGAGTCCCTCCGGCCCTCATGTCTATGCTCATCCAGGGAGAAGGCACCCCTCCACCACAGCTGAGTTCATCATGGAATCCCAGAATATCAGGGTTTGGAGCAGCTTGTATACCATCTGATTCAACCCCTTCAAGGCGAGGATTTTCTTACCTTATCTAGAACTGCAACTCCACAACTAGGGAGAGAAAAAAAAAATAACAAAAATGACAATGGAGCAAAAAAACTAACAGGTTAGGAGGTGGTAGGCTGATTCCATCTCGATCAATAGGGTGGACAAATCTTCCTCTTTTAAAAAATATATTTTTATTGTTTCAGAGAGGAAGGAGAGGAGAGAGATAGAAACATCAATGATAAGAGCATCATTAATCGGCTGCATGCCCCCTACTGAGGAGTAAGCCCACAACCTGAGTGTGTGCCCTGACCAGGAACCAGGAATCAAACCATGACCTCTTGATTCATAAATTGATGCTCAACCACTGAGCCAAACCAGTCCCCCCCCCCTTTTTTTTAAGCAGGTGGACATGGACATTCACTGTGTTCCCTACATACTGGGGAGGGTATTCACGTAAAAACGTAGAAGAGAGGAATGGATGGGATGTGAAGGAGTTGGGGTCAGGAACACGAAAGGTACTTACTTGGTTTGCTGACTGGCATCATTCTTAATTGTTGGCTGTGCTTCTTTTGCCTTTGTCTGAGTGCCTGAGAGATGGAGGAACAGGTGATTCAGAACCTGATAAGAAGAAGTGGGGGGAAGTGGGGAGGGGCAGGGACCCTCTGCTGCCAGTGAGCTGGGACTGACATGGCAGGATTCTCTGCAGGCCCCAGTGAGGGAGGGAGGTTCTGCTCTTACCACGATGGTGTTTGGGTGGCTTCTTGCTGGGAAAGTCCTGTGGTGGAAGGTCCTGGGCCTGGGAGGGGAGATGATTGGCCAGATTCCTCTGGACCCTTGAGAGAGGATGTTGTTGGGTTGGAAAGACCTCAGAGCTGGTCCCTGGCACCTGGAAAGCAAGTGGGGGATGCTGCATGCCTAGAGCCACTAGGACAGGATTCTCCAGCTGATTCCAGCTGATGATCAAGTTCCAGGTCCAGAGGACCAGAGTAACCCCTCCAAGCCTTCAAGGCTACCTGGTTATTTGCTCTTGCCCTCCCTGTTTCAGCTGGCAAGAATGGGCCTGCTCAAGCCATGAAGCAGGGGCTGGGCTTGTCTTCAGCTAGGCTCTCTAGAATCCCCATCTACCTTGTTTAGTCTCAGCCACTTGCACAGCCAGCATGGTGATATGGAAAGAGAACAGATCTGAGTGGGGAGTGAGCGGGTTTGGGATCAGAGCCCACCTTTTCCAGGTCTCAGTCTCCTATCTGAGTCATGAGTTTGGAGTAGATGAACTCCAAGCTCCCTTCTGTATTCTAGGGATGGCTGAGGTGTGTGTGAAGAGAATATTGCTGAGGTGTGTGTGAAGAGAAGGTAAACTAGGGAGTTGTAGAGATGGGTGTAGTAGTAGTTGTCACAATTTAATCAGCTCTTTATATTTTCTTTTTGACATATTCAAAATTTCTATGTTTTGCTTGTAACATAACACTCAGAGCCTAATAAATGCCTGTGGTACTGAATCATGCAGACCAGCTCAATCTCAAGGAAACTTTAAATGTATTTTTATTTATTTCAGAGAATAAGGGAAAGGGAAAGAGAGATATAAACATCAATAATGAGAGAGAATCATTGATTGGCTGCCTCCTGAAAGCCCCCCACTGGGGACTGAGCCAGCAACCCAGGTATGTGCCCTTGACTAAAATTGAATCTAGGACCCTTCAGCCCACAGGCCCCTTCAGTCAACAGGCTGATGTTCTATCCACTGAGCCAAAGCAGCTTAAAAATACTTTAGATAACTAATAGGCTCAGTTGGAATTCTTTAGTTAATTGTGTTTCCAGATCTTTTTAATTTTAAAAAAAAATATATATATTATTTATCTATCTATCTATCTATTTATTTATTTATTTATTTATTTATTTTTTACAGAGAAGAAAGAAGAGGGATAGAAAGAAACATCAATGATGAGAGAGAAACATTGATCAGCTGCCTCCTGCACACCCCGCACCGGGGATGTGCCCGCAACCAAGGTACATGCCCTTGACTGGAATCGAACCTGGGACCTTCCAGTCTGCAGGCCAAACTCTATCCACTGAGCCAAACTGGTTTCGGCTCTTTTTAATTCTTTTATTTGATTTTAGAGTGAGAGAAAGGGGGAGAGAGAGAGAGAGCAAGACAGAAATATCAATATGAAAGAGAATCATCAATTGGTTGCCTCCTGTATACATTCTGACTGAGGGTTGAACCCAAAAACCTGGTTTGTGCTCTGTCCAGAAATCAAACCAGCAACCATTTGGTTCATAAGATGATGCTCAACCAACTTAGTCATGCTGGCCAGGTCCCAATCTTTTTCTCCTTAAATATTTTTTCAACTAAAGCATTCAGAAACCTTCTTGCTGCCGGGCCTGTGTGGCTCAATGGTTGAGCATCAACCTATGAACCAGGAAGTCATGGTTTGATCCCCAGTCAGGACACATGTCTGGGCTATGGGCTTGATCCCCAATATGGGGTGTGCAGGAGGCAGCCAATCACTGATTCCCTCTCATCATTGATGTTTCTATCTCTTTCTCCCTTCTCTCTTTCTCTCTGAAATCAATAAAAATATATTTAAAAAAATAAAAAAAGCAAGCACACGGTTTTATCTTACAGTTGGGCTCGAGGATCATTTTTCTGAACAGCACCTCCTACTGTGGACAACAGGTCCACTCGTGAAGAAGCCCCTACAGAGCACCTATTCTGGGCAGGGCACAAGGCCAGGCATTTCCAGGGAATACAGTAGACCCACCCCTGCTGTCAACATGCTCAGCATGGATGGGAAGACACAGATAGTTTGCTGGCTGAGGTCATATTTTGACACACCCTGTTTCTTTTGCCAACATAGCTTCCTCCCAGACCAGACTTGGGTCGTTATTTAATCTTAGAGGATTAATAGCCACATGAGAGCAGAGTTGGAGAAGCTAGGGAAGGCTTCCTGGACAAGATGAGGTCTTAGCTGAGTGAATTTAGTTGAGTTGGAATGGCCTGAGGAAGAGAGAAGGTGGGTGGGTGACATAGTTCACAGAAGAATAAACGTGTGTGTGTGTGTGTGTGTGTGTGTGTGCTTTGAGAGGGTCATCAGAAGACAGACATGGGTCCCTGGCATACAATAGGCATTCAATAAAAATGTGCTGAATGATGGATGAAGGATGTAGAAGATGTGTAGATTGCCTGTGTTTGAACTGATACTAAGAATTAGCTGTGGGATTGTTTTTAAATTATTTTTTCCCCCCTCCCCTATAAGGCAAGTGCAAAACAAAAAAATAGATAGATAGACAAGCAAAAAACAAAAACAAAAACAAAAACAAAAAACACCAAAAACCAAAAACCAAACGAAAACAACAAAAACCACTGTGAGTAAGTGGCTAAGGGAAACCTCACTAGAGGACTGAGAGGAAGAAGAGACTTAATTTAAATGACTTTTTAGTGGCCTGGAGCCCACCCATCCCCCCACAGAGCGGCGTGTCCCTAGGCATGCCCACCTGTTCTCTGGGGGGAGGGATCTTGTTGGTCTCAGCCAAGAGCTTCTTGAGTTCAGCCCCCTGGCCTGTCCTCCTGGAGGGACTCTGCTCCCTGACCGGGGCAGTCTGTGCTTTGTCTTTCTCCTCCACCTCCAGGTTCCTTCTCCTGAAGAACTGCTGCTGTCGGGCTCTCTGGAGCTGCTCTGCGTGCTGGGTCCTCAGCGCCTTCCCCATCTGGCGGCAAGTGGTCATGTTGGGGCGGCAGCGGCGGCTCTCACGGGTCTCCTGCCGGCGCTCATACTTGGCCTCGTAGCTCTCGGCCCACCGGGCCAAAGCGGCGGGAGGCCTGGGGTCCGGGCTGATCATGAGGAGCTCCTGAGCACCTGTTGTGCTTGGCCTCCAGTTCCTGGAATAGATGTCGGGATCTGCCAAATGCCAAGAGGGAGGAGAAGAGGAGGGGTCAGGAGATGGGCAGAAAAATGACTACCTCCCTGGACAGGGGGGCAGAAATAGCATATACATGTGGGCTGAAGCACACAGGAGGTGAGGATGTCAAGCTGAGAGTCAGGACGCTCAGGGCCCAGTCTGTGCTAACTTCTGCTTTTCTCCAGCCTTTGTCTTCCCCTCTGCAAAGTAGAAAGTCTTTCTGGCTGCCACTTCTTCGTTGACCAAACATCTCACCCTGCCCCTAAATCAGGGGACCATGAGAAATAATTGATAAAAAAAAACAAACAAAACCATCATGAGTTTGTCACTTTTTGGACAGCAGGGATGTGTTCATTCTTCGGAGACTCCTAGAGGACCAGTTGAATGGCTCCCTGTTCCCAAATGTAAAGGACGAGCCAGCATCTTTACTGCTGTCTTGGCCCAGGTTGTTATTAGAGCAGGCGAGTGACTCTACTCAAGGCCTGGAGGGACACCCAGACCTCTCCAAGGTGTGGCCAGTCTTGAGATCAGCATCCGCTGCTTTCTTCTTAGCCCTTAGCAACCAGCTTGTGAGTTTGGTCCGGGGCATAGTCCAGGATAGAAACCCCACCCTATTTCCTCTAAATCAGGGTCCATTGGCAACCCCCTCCCAGCCAGGACCCAGGCTCTGACTCTCAGGTGCAGGTCAACTCAGATTAGTATTGGCCAAGCACCTGCCACAGGCCCAGTGCTGGCAAAACCCACATCAGAACGTCCAGCTCAATAATTCTCAGAGTTGAGAGTTTCATTTTTCTCTACTCACTTCCTGGTCAGAACTAAGTATGGTGTCAAGTCTGCTTTTCTTAGCCCAGACATAGGCTGTGCCATCAAAACCAGCAATCAGTCCAGCTGGTGTGACACAGCGGTTGAGCATTGACCTGTGAACCAGGAGGTCATTGTTTAATTCTTGGTTAGGGCACATGTCCTGATTTTCAACTTGATCCCCAGGTGGGGGTGTGCATGAGGCAGCTGGTAAGTGACTCTCATCATTGATGTTTCTATCTCTCCTTCTCCCTCTCTAAAAACAATAAAAATATATTTAAAAAGAAAAAGAAAAGAAAAGAATGCATGTCAAGCATCTGACACATAGCACACAACAAATGTCAGCTTTTTATAATAATAACTAGAGGCCTGATGCACGAAGATTTGTGTAAGAATGGGCCTTCCTTCCCCTGGTTGCTGGCACCGTCTTCGCTACGGTTGGAGCTACCTTTTTACTCCGTCCTGGAGCCACCTTTCTGCCTTCCCATGCTGCCCAAAGGCCAGGAGCACCCCTGGCCACTTGGTCCCTGTGTATGCAATTAACTGGATATCTTTGTTGGTTAATTTGCATACTCACTACTGATTGGCTGGTGGGGCTTCTCAAAGGTATGGCCATTTTGCATCTTATTCTTTTATTAGTATAGATAAAGATAAGCTATGATCATTATTACCCCCTGTCCTGCTGATCTTGGATACTGCAGACATGGTGCTGTAAAACAAAGGTCCCAGGCAAACCTAGAGCTCCCAGGACCAAGAATGCCACATCCTCCAGTCCCCTTTTCTCTTGAAGGGGTGCTGTTTATCCCACGGAGGGGATGCCAGTCTGGGGACATCCTCCTACTCTGGTTCATCTGGCCTCTGGATTTGGACCAGAAGAAGAAAGGACTTCTCTGTGGTCGGGACACAGCCACCTCCTCAGTTAGGCAAAGAGATGGGGATGAAGAACTGTGTCCAGCCTGCGCTCCACCATTACATGTGGGGTGCAAGGTCCCCACCCTGTTTGGTTCCAGGTAACCACAAGCTAAGCAGAGGAGGTGGATCCCTGGATATGGAGAATCCTCCCCCTTCTTGTTGTGAAGAGGACAGGGCTGTGGGGAGGAGCAGAGTCTGAAGGAAGATGTGTCTGGATACCACCAGGCTGTCTGCACTAATCTGATGAAACATGCAGCCCCCTCCACTTCCTGAGGGGCAGGTGCTGGGGCTTGTTGCCCAAGTGGGAGGTGCACTAGAAATGGCCTCTTCAAGAAGGGAGCATTCCCTGACCCCCACGCCCTCAGGCCTGGTAGCACTTCTGCGGACAGCTGAGCAGAATCATGCCCATCTCCTGGGACAGCTGGACTGTTCAGATGGCTTGCACCAAGAGGCCATGTGGGTCAGCTCCCTGATAGTGACGGGCCGTAGAAGAAAAAGGAACTGGTTCCCGAGAGGTTCAAAGATAGGTCACTGGGCCACTTCCCCGGCTTTCTGGCATCTGTGGGGTGCCCCTTGGCAACATGACAAGGGCCAGAGAAGCTCCGGGGAGATGTGAGACTGGCTGGGGACAGCCTTCCTCACTGCCAGAGGGAGATGCTTTCTGAGTCTCTGTTCCACTTCCTGGCTTGGTGTGTGGTGAATGGTGTTCCAGCCCAGAGCTCTCGGTGTGAGCCAGGACAGATGGGCCTACACCGAAGCTGCTCGAAAGGCAGTTACTTGTTTGGGGGGCTCCCTGCTTTGAAGAGAACTACAAAAGTTCACTTAATTTATGCTCCTGACACTAGGTAGCCCGAATCCTGTCATCGACTCACTCCTAATTCAATCTCATGGACGGAGGGAGGAGCGAAAGAAGCTGTACACCGTGGCCAGTGGCTCTGGAACCAGCGCGGGGTGCTTTCTTAGTTACCCAAGGCTCTTAAGCTACACCATCCGCTCCTATGTCTCCCCCTTCAGCCCAGGGAAGCTCCAGAGATGGAGGGTCTTCTGTTCCACCCCAGAGTCGGAGGACCCCAACCTGAACACAAAAACATCCTCCTCTTTCGTTACCTTGGGTTCCAGGCTCCAACCCAAGCAGCTCAGAAAAGCCTTCCAGTTCCCGGGCAGATCTCAGCTCTGGTCTCAGATGGGGCAAGACAGCAGCTGAATCAAGTGCAAGCTCTCAATCCATGGCTCTGCGTCCCCTTAGCATTTCCCTTCTCGGAGCTGTTTCTCTTTGCAAGCCTTGCTGAAACAGGAAACAGATAAAGCCACAATACTTGCTCACCCCAGTTCCTCTCTTGCTTTCTGGCACAATCTGAGTGGGCCCCTGAGCACCAGAGGCCTCCACAGGGCTGGGCCTAGGAGCTCCTCCTATCAGTGGGCACCCCAGACACTCTTTCTCTTGCTACTGGATTGGTACGAGCTCTTGGATAGTTTCAAGTTAAGATCCCTTTCCAAGAGTAGACGAGGATGGGTCTCTGGGTCAGATTCACATCTTGCAACTCTTTGATGAGACGCTCCCATTGTAGGTTTTTAATTTTTCTCTTTTCTTTAATTACCTCTTCCCAGTCCTGGCATCGTAAAGAGTTTTTGTTCTTCTGAAATATTGGTGTTTTTTTTTTCTTATTTCTGATATAAGGCCAGCTGAAGCAACAGTGTGTGTGTGTGTGTGTGTGTGTGTGTGTGTGTGTGTGTGTTTATGAAAGGGTGTGTGGCTAGGTAGTGAAGGGAGCAATAGTAGAATCTTCTAAAAATATTTTCCACTCAACAGACTAGGAAATTTGGGGGAAAACGAAAAGAAACTGATCTGTGTGCATGACAAAGAAACCATTACAGATGATATAGTCAGGAAATTCCCCAGAACTTCAGGATAAGATAGTGAGAAGGGAACTGGACCGGGATAAGTTAACCGAGTAGCTTTGTAACCTTTTGCAATTCACTTTGTCAGAACGGTACACTCAGTACCGTTGGGTGATTTACTAGTACATGGTGCCTATGAATTCTAAGGCTTGACACATATGCAGTGCATAATGAGACATTTAAATAGCTGTGATAACACTTATTAGCATATGGGGAGTATGTCACAATCTTCATTGCTATTACTTCCCCATTCTCAGAGGAGAACAAGGACAAGGACTTGGCAGGAAAAAGTGCAGAGGATGGATTCTTAAGCATTAGAACCAAAGGCAGATGGCAGTCCCTCAGGATGAGAGACAATAGCCCCAGGTCCTGTGTTTGGAGTTTGACATATGGGAATGAGCAGAGGACAGAGGGGTTGGGGAATTCAAGAAGCAGAATAAGAGAATTTCATTGGCACAGAATAAATAGTGAGAGGGCTTGGGGAATTTAGGGCATTAGAGCATCAGAAGGGATAGTGGATTGTAATAGGAGTTCCTGTGGACAAACTATTTGGGTTCCATTCAAAATTAGAAAAAAGTGTTTGTCTAGCTGGTGTGGCTCAGTTGTTGAGTATCAACCTATGAACCAGGAGGTCATGGTTGATTCCTGATAGGAATCACATGCCTGGGGTGTTGGGCTTGATCCCCAGTGGGGGACATGCAGAAAGCAACCATCAATGATTCTCTCTCATCAGTGATGTGTGGGGAGGGGAGCTTGGAACTCCAAGTCTTGCAGAGTGGCTCAGGTTGGGCAAACTTAAATCTGTTCCTGTTCAGGATCTCCCCAGTGAGTGACTTGAAAACTCTCTTTGTTAAGTCTTCCAAGTGTCTATGTGGTAACTATTTAGTCAGATGTCTGTGCAAATATCTTAAGCACAAATGTTCTCAGAGGTGCTACAGTATAAACCCTTGATTCCCAACCTTTTTTTGTGTGTGTGCCGTGCCTCACCTAAACATCTCTAAAATCCTGATATCCCTCCTGTGACATATAATTCTAATTTAAAAAATATATATTTTATTTATTTTTTACAGAGAGGAAGGAAGGGAGAGGGATAGAGAGCTAGAAACATCAACGAGAGAGAAACATCGACCAGCTGACTCCTGCACACCCCCTACCGGGGATGTGCCCGCAACCAATGTACATGCCCTTGACCGAAATCGAACCTGAGACCTTTCAGTCCTCAGGCCAACGCTCTATCCACTGAGCCAAACCGGTTTTAGCTATAATTCTTATTATTCAAAAAGTGAACTCCTCTTCACGCAGAGGAAACCTAAAAGACCAGTAACTTG